TATTTACTATCTGTATTAAACTTAGGTGCCAGAGAAATCTCAAAGATATGCGAGGCATGCTTCTGAAGTTTACAGTTTGACAGGGGAATAAGCACTGGAGACAAAGCACAAAAACTAGGCAGTAAATTAAGAACTTTATGAAAGACTAAAGCACAAACTGAGTTCATTTCTTGAGCTAATTTTAGAAGAAGGGTAAAATTTCATTAAGCAGAGAAGGGGAAAAAGGAAATGCCATAAAAAGGAACACTATGAACAAATGTGGGAGGGTAGATGTTTGAAGAACAGTCAGGATACCAGTTTGACTAGGGCAGTGAAATCCTGTGGAAATTAAGAGGCCACAATGTAGAGGCTGTGGGGTTTTATTGTAGAGACAAAGACCAACTGCTGAAGACTTTTGATGCTGAGAATGACATAACAAAAACCATATTTTAGGAAGGTTAATCTGGCAATGATAGAATTGATAAAAAAGGGATGGTTTGTTAGTAGGTCAGACATAAAACTACTATAATCGTCACAGGTTACTGAGCCCCATAGACTTAGGTATATGTTGATGTAGCTCAAGTTACTAAATTGTATACACACATCTTAGAGTATAGAACTTCTACACTGATTCTAGAAAACTTGCAGTTACACACAATTTTTTTTGTAACTTTTCTTTCCTCTATTTACCTTAATTAACAACTTCTGACTTAGAATCTTTATTTTACCTTTCTTTCCATTACCCAATCTTTGCATTAATAAGACTCATCATCATTCTTTACATATTAGCAAAATCAACAAAATTACATGTAACTGCTTAATAAGAGCATTTAAAGCAACCGTTTTAAGTTCCACTCTGTTAAAGCAACTGCTTTATATCACACACAAATTTCCAAAAAAAAAAATCCGCATTTCCAAAAGAGCACTTTCATTCTTGCAAACCGCTTATACCTACAAAACCAAAACAATATGAAACTTAATATACAGTGAACCTGTAAGTTACTTCATAGAAAGAGTTTTTAACAGATTGGCTGCCATAAGTATCAGGACAGCCAAAACTGCTTTCTTTGCTTTGTTTATATAAACTAGGCCACACGTGAATGTCCTTCTTCTAGAAAAAGGGCCAAACCACCTAAGTTTTCAACATTTCATAAATTAAGGTAGTCTTACACTACTTGATTTCCTAAAAAGGGAGATTTATAAAGTACTAACTTTCCTTGAATAAAATATAGTCATCCAAAAGGTAATTCAGATTACTGAAATAGTCATACATATTCGTTACAGAATATTATGCCTCATTGCTAGTAAATCAGACTTTTGAAAAGTTAGAGAACAACAGATACTAATTTGAAAAGATAGGAGAATGATTCATTCCGTTTGAGGTTACCTAAAGACCTGCATATGTTTAGGGATTTAGGATTAAGAAGAGGATGGTGTCCCAGTTTGTAAGAGAGCCTTGTCTCTGCTTCCATGACTTTCCTTTTGAGTGCAAAAACGTTGCCAACTTGTCAGCGACCACTGGAACCTCTCCAACAGTCAGTCCGGCTTCCCACTCAGAGAAGCACTGCCAGCTGATTGGTTCAGGGCAATCAGACAACAGCCCTGAGCCTCATAGTCATAAAGGAACAAAGATTGGTGATCATACTCAGGAAGGAGAAGATGTAAGGGGGTGGGGGGTAGGGAAGCAAAAAATTAACCAACACAGATGTCCAGAAAGATACACCTACCCAAAGAGATAAATGCTTTACCTGGAGATACTCAACAACAAAAAAGAGGAATTATTTTTCATTCACGGTAAACAAGAGCACAGGTTTAAAACTGAGGGAGCCCAATTCATAGGAACAAACTTGGTTAGTAGCTTTATAACTACCCTGAGTGGGCAAGGACCACATTTAGACAATGGAGCCTATTAAATAAATTCATTGAAGGGTGTCCTGTTTCCTAAAAACTACCTAATTTTAGGGTTTCTGCTTCAGTGTGATTCCAGTTCGGCATAAGATTTCAAATTCAAGGGGGAATGGGTGGGGTGCAGAACACATGCAATTTTTACAGCATGGAAATAAAAGTATTTTTAAACCTTCTTGGGGGTAAAGAGTTAGGCAAGAATACGTGGAAATTGTCAAGTGCTTCTCTACACACCCACCCACCAGATACCATCGCAGCCGACTAAGGGAGTCTCCCTCTTCTTGCCTGACAGCTTCACTTTCTTTGAGGTCTGAAGCTGGTGATCACACTGGCCCGTCATGGTATTTTCAGTTAACAAAGCAGTTACTCAACAGGGGAAAAAGCCACAAAGGCGCAGAGCAGCTGCTGCTGCACCCGTGATGCAAGTGCAGATGAGCCCCGGGCCGCCACCGCTGCCTCGGCTCCTCCGTGACGTCTGGGAGGGGTATCCCCGGCACTCAGGAAGTGGTGGCCGCGGGCGGCTCCGCCCCCACATGACTCTGGGCTGGCCAGGCCGCCCGGTGGCAGGACGGACGGGCCTGCCGGCGGGCGGGAATCACCGTCCGTCACACACGAACGCCAAGCCGGCCGCGCGCCCCGCTCCCTCTCCCGCGCCACCCCTCGTGGCAGACCCCAGTCCTCTCCCGTTACAGCCCGCGCCGCCCTCTCCCCCAAAGTTCGAACCACTCACCCCAACCCCCAGCGCCGAGCCCGGACCAGCATCGCCGGTCACCAGACGGGTTCGAGCCGAGTCCAAGATGGCTACCCGCACCCCCTCGGCACTCCTAGCGGGGTCAAGGCGCCCCCTCACGCGGCGCGCTCGCGCCCGAGCCCTGGCTAAAAATAGCCAGGCCCGACTATATTTGGTACGGCCGGATCCCAGCGCGGCGGCGCGCACCACGCCCCGCCGGGCCCCGCCCGGCGCGCCCCGCCGCGCCCGGCCCCGCCCCTCGCGGCGCTGAATGGAGAAGGGGCGGGGGTGACCGTGGGGGAACCTACTCCGCTATCTGCCGCGCGCGCCCGCGACTGGGCCGGGCCAACGGCCGAATTTAGTAACATCGCCTGCGTCAATCACGCGCCTCGCGTGCGTCAGCGCCGCGCGGCTCCAGGTCCTGCTCCCCCCACCTCCCAGCCTTTGAATGGATACAATGCAGCAGCGCCCTCCTTCCTTCCGAAGCTGGATTGGAACCCGCGGCAGCGCAGAGGCTCTGCTCTGTTCCTCTCCCCCCGGTCAACTTTCGAAGCATCCTCCCAAGGTCTTCTCCACACCACGCAGTCTCAAGTGGAAGTGGAAGCGAAGAAATATACCTGTGTCATATATATAATATTAGTTTTGTTTTTAAGTTTCTGGTGCTAGCTAGAACCTTCTTCGATTCTGAAACGTGTGCTGTGGACAGCAGGATCCTCCTCCTCCCTCTCCTCTCCCCACCCAGATTGTGACAGGTCAAAAAAATAAAATGTCACGTCTAATTCAAGCGGACACAAGGGGACAATGCCTGTCTGCATCGTTTCACTCAAATATTTTCTCTTCAAAAATTCACTTCTTTAAAAGAGTATGGTTCATACTCAGGTTTCTCTTCATATCGCATAATTCTTTCGCCTTTTCAAAAAGGATGCTTCCACTCAGATGCAATCTTTGGGACTAGGAGTCTTTAACTCACAAATTTGTGTTTTCGTTTTCCGCAAGAAATTCACACTTCAATTCACTTCCAGTAAGAAATTGCTCTCCCTCACCAATCGCCCAGGCTTTTGGCGCACCATTTAATGACAAATGTGTCTCAGGAGACCACAGCAAATCCCTTAGGGAGGGACTGACTAATAAATCTTGTTGATTGATTTCGAAATGTTTAATTTGGGAGATGGGAAAGGAGGCCCGTCTACAATCACCAAAAAGTGAAAGTGCGAACTGAGAGTTCAATTTCTGAGGAGGGAGGGGCGGGGGAGAACACTTGTAACAGTCCGACCCGCTCAGCTGTTCAACACGTGTGTGTTTTACACACACTTAAATAATTTCTGCTTTAGGGAGCGCCTGGATGGTGGACATACATTTTGCTGGGTTACAATGGGTCCAGTTCTGAAACGCACACCTGAAGTAAAAATAAACATAAAACCTTATCGTCTCAGAGCCATCTGCATCCCTGTGTGAAACACGCACCCAGCAAATGATGGGAAGGCAGGAATTAGCCTGGGCGCAGGGGGGGCGAGCAGACGTAAACAGTTCTAGAACTGTTGCTGGAGGAAAGTGCAGCTGCACCTCAGGGAGTCTCGTCTGGTGCCTGACTCCTTTTGCACCCGCTGCCAGGTCACTCGGAGAAGCGAGCTGGCGGAGCCTTGTCTTTCGGAAGAGCTGTCCTCTCCCTTACCCCCTCGCCCTGGCTCCTTGCCTCGGGGCAGCCTCGGAGGCGCGCCAGCAGCACTCCTCCAACTCTACTCCACCCGAGCCTGACAGCTGGGCGGTCCCGCCTGACCCGCGGGCGGGCCGCTGCTCTCTCTCGCAGACTCGTGCCCGGGCGAGTAGCGCCACTGCAAGGGGGTTGCCAGCGCGGGTCAGAAAGACCTCCAGGCTGGGGCTGGCTGCGCCGCGTAGTTTCCATAGTGTCGCCCGGCGAATGGCCGGGTAACGCGAGCGCGCGCGCGCGCGCGCATGCACACGCACTCACACACACACTCACACACACACACACACACACACACCCTCGCACACACGGAACCGGCTGGGCCAGGGGAGGGAGGAGGAGGGTGACGTAGCGTCCCATGGCGTCACATTGACGTCTCGCATTCCAGTCACTCTATGGAGAGGCCGCTAGGGCTCCTGTGGCATAAATGACGTGCCGAGAGAGCGAGCGAACGCGCAGCCGGGAGAGCAGAGTCTCCTGCCTCCCGCCCCCAACCCCTCCAGCTCCTGCTCCTCCTCCGCTCCCCACACACAGACGAGCTCACACCCGCTCCCTCACTCGCACACACAGACACGCGCGCTCACACGCTCCGCACACACACTCCACTCTCTCCCGCGCGCTCACACCCCTCTCGCCCTGCGCCCTCGCGGGTGCAGCGCCGCGCGGCAGCCGGACGCCCCTCCCGGGCTCACTTTGCAACGCTGACAGCGGTGGCCGTGGAGGTGGGAACAGCGGCGGCATCTTTCCCCCCTGGTCGCGGCCCGAGACTGGACGCCAGCGGAACCCCTCGGCGGCGCCCTCTCATGCGCCGGGATCTCAGCATCCCCTGCCAGCCGCTCGCCGTCTCTGGGAGCCTCTGGACTTGTATACCGCAGCCTTCCGGGACAGCCGCCGGGACTCCCGACCAAGTGCGGATTTCGGGGCAGCTCTCTAGAAACTCGCTCTAAAGACGGAACCGCCACAGCACTCAAGTATGTATTTGAGATTCGCCCAGTTAATTGGGGGACTTGCTAAAAAGTTGGCGCACTGAGAAGCGTCGCTCTCGAAATTGACAACTTTGTGTGTGGGGTTCCACCCCCCCCCCCGCCCCACATACACGCCTCCTTGCTGCGGCTTTGCTCGCGGAGCTGCGGGTGGGTTCTGATCTGAAACTTTTCCCCTGTAGCGGACCCGCGGGGATCTCTGGAGCTCGTGGGATTCTTCCCCCAACCCGAAGGGGCGAAAAGCCTCTAACAAAGAGGAGGACCGGGATTTGTGCGGTAGCAGCTCCAGCGACGTAATTCAGGGTATTTCGGCTCTAGTTGTCATGGTAATGATGCTCTCGGCGGCGGCGGCAGCAGCGGCAGGGAGTTGCAGCTACGGTGATGAACGGCAGTAATTTCCCTGCCTTTTAACTAGGGTTGAAAATAGGAACTCCGGTGGGTCCAAGTTAATACACCTAAGAGTGACTTCGAGCTGGCGGACTGAGAGGGAGCGTGGGAGCGAAGGGGCCTGAGCCGTAGTGGCCGGAGTTTGCAAAGGCGCTCGGAGGATCTCAGGAAAGAGGGCATAATTGTGGGAATGCGGCTTATTGTATTGAAATGAGCCCGGAGCTCCACTAGGCACGTCTGCTCTGCGTCGCCGACTTGCCCGTTTACACTTTCCCTTCAGAGGTAATCGGGTGTAATTGCGGACTCCCGCGCTCCGACACGCGTGGGGAGAGTGTCCCTCTCCTCCGGGCTGGGCTGAGTGTGGGAAAGGCATGTTTTACTCTTAACGGACAGAACTCGCGCCTTTGGAGAAGTTGCTCGGAGTGTTTTACTCCTAATAGAAATGAAAGTTCTCGGTTGCGAGAAGAGAGCGGTCGTGCCAACGCAGTCGGCGGGGACTGGCTTCCACAGGCACCTCCAGAAGCTTTTGGAGGCTTGAGGTTTAAGCGTTTGTCCCTTGCCTTTAAAAAACTTGAATTCAGGCTGCCTTTTTATTTCTGCCTCCGGATACTCCAAAGGGAAGAGCTAATTGCAAGGAGTTTGGTAATCAGAAATCTCGGGCTGTTGGTTGCCCCAGAGTCTTGGGGTGCCAGGAGAGAGGGCCAGGGCGCCTCTTTAGCCACTTCGTCGCGACTTCAAGCCGGAATCTTCTTTTCCCACGGCGAAAAGATGTTTTCTAGAACTAAATTGGGGAAAGAGAAAGCTGCCTAACGGGTCCGCTGGGCACAATGAATGAAGTTAGAGTTTATTCGAGTTGCCTCAGCTGCCTAAGATGCTCCAACGTGAGTGTCAAAGACTCCTTAGGCCACAGCAGCCTCCACGCCCGCTCCCTCCCCCCGCGCCCACCCACTCCCTTCCCTGGGACCCTGCGCTCGCAGGATTCCTCCTCGCGGTTTGTCTCCTCTCCCTCGGTCTTTCTGAGAATCTTTGTCTTTCCCTTTCTGTCGGTCTCCCCTCCACGCCTGCTGCCCCCGCCCAACCTCCGCCCCCGCTCCCCAGGGCTGGAAACTCCGCGGAGGAGCCGGGGTCACAATGGTGCGTTTCACGGTTTCCTCCACACGCTTCGCCACCGGGAGGGGAACACGGGGGTGTTCCTTTCGTCTGCCCACGAGAAAGAAAGGGGCTTTGACAGAGGTAGTTATTTCTTCCTAATTTACAACCCCGAGGCTCCGTGCTCCTGGCCCGGCGGCCGCGAGCAGGAGCCACGGAACGTGTTTCCAGGCGCAGAGGCTTTGCCTAGGTAACCCGACGTTTGGGAGGGGTGGCGAGAGCCCAGGGGCTCGCGGCTCAGCTGGAGGAAATGTGGTGTGGCTCTTTCCCGTGGACGCTAGTGCTCCAGGAGAGCCCCTTCCTTAAAGAGACGCGACCCTCGCCCACCGGAGTGCGAGGCCGATCCTCGGAGACAGGCTCCGAGTGCAAGGCCCCAGGGAAGGGCGGGAATGCGGGCACCTCCTGGAGGCCCCTACTGAGGATGCGGGGGGGTGGGGGACTGGAAGCGCAAGCTACAGCCGTGGGAAGATCCGTCCGTGCCTGCGCTAGAGCTCGCTCAAGCTTTCCGTAGGATCACCTGGGGCTGGGGAAGCGGCTGGGGCTGGGATTGGGGGTGTCAAGGGAATCCCCCATTTCCTGGCCTTCGAGGGCTTCCCGGACCTGTAGGCTCCGAGTACCTCTCCCTGTCTTCAGGGAAACTATGGGCTCAGGGGCTGCGGGAGACGAAACTTACATGACCCTGGCAGCCCGCGCTGCCGCGAGGATTTGGGGGTTTTGTTTATTTTGGTTCCACGTTCCCTCCCCCAGGAGCTGTGAGTGGGGCCTGGCAAAGGGGGCGCTATAGGCCGGAGTTTGGGTCAGTGGGATCTTTCCTCGAGGCCCGCGGAGCTACGCCTTCAGCTACAAAGTTTCGCTGAAGCAATGTGCAGAGAGACGCTCGCCCTGGAGCCGCGCTGGCGTCCTCCGGAATGTGCCCTCTCCGGGCCGCCGGATGGCCCCGAGCCTCGAAGTCGCCCACCCTCAAGGATACCGCCCGCTGGGTGCAGGGAGCCTCCCTCCGACCTCCCCACCAGCTGCGAACGCCATCCGCCTGGCCGCCTTGCTTCCAGCGTGGGCCTATTGCCACTGTGCCTTTTGTTTGCTTGACCCCTGGCCCCCCGAAACTCGCAGCTAATAGAAGAGAAGCTCCATTAGCATTTAGAATGAAAAGCTCAGACTTTCTTAATTCTTCGGGGCATTCATGCATTCGTTCCGGACTTCGTGCATTTTCTATGCAACGTGTAAAATTTGTATTTGAGGGGTGGGGGCGGGGGGAAATTGGAAAATGCCTATTTTCCGCTCGTGCACACTCACTGACCACCCCTCCCCCCCAATTCGGGCGGAACTCTTTCCTCAAGTGTTTTTCCTCTCTTCTGTTTTCTTGAGTTCTTGAGCTAGAACCAATTGTGGGGGCAGAGGGATCAATTACTGGGCGACGTCAGATTTTGCGTTTTTAGCCTCGTTCGGGTGCCACAAAACGGTGGTGAGCGTGGCTGGCACAGACTATTCCTCGGCTACTCCAAGGTGGTGTGATGTGTCTTCTTTCGGGAATCCAGTCACCTTAAGCACCGCTTTCTTACCTTTAAATTTTTTTGTAATTAATGTAGCATTTCTAAAGGTCCCCACCAATTTCCAATACGCCCAGCCCAGGCCCTGGTGACTCAGCCTGGACTTACCGTGACCTTTGTTCTCTCTCCCGGTGTCCGCAGAGTCCCCTGCGGAAGAGCGCAGCCCGGCAAGCCCCCGCCCTGAGACTGGACCCTCAGCGGAGCCGGGAAGCACCGCCGCCGCCTCTCCTTGCCGGACGTCTCCGCCTCCTTCACTCTCAGCCTCCGCTGGAGAGACCCACAGCCCCACCATTCAGCGCGCAAGATACCCTCCAGGTAGGTCTGAAGGCATGACCCCTTATTTCTCCCCAGCTGAGAGAGGTGAGTGGGGAAGCCACACAACCAGCGGGCAAACTGGTCGATGTGCCCAGGGCCAGGACAGTGACTGCTGGACGAGTATTTCACAGCACAGGTGGCTTCCTTGCAGGAAGCTCTTCTGGATACCACACCCTGTTGCTACCGACTGGAGCAGCCAGATTACATTAAGCATTGCATATCTCAAAAAATATTTTTCCCAAGAAAAAAATGCAAATACACCATAGATTAGTATCTTTTAATACATTTTAATGTCTTCATTTTTGCTGTCCTTTCATAGGCAGTTTATGCATTTGAGAGTTATGAGGTCACTTAGAGCAACATAGAGCATTTTTTTTGTTTGTATAAAACCCCAATCACTTGGGCACAGAAGCGTGGGTTATTGAAGCTCAACGGGAAAGAGAATAGGCATTTGACCTAAAAACCAAGGAGTAAATTTGAGTTGGCAAAAGAAAGGATTGGAGGCTTGGCTTGTAACACCTCTTTATGCATTTGTCAAAGGGATACCAGGTTCCAGGCCTGTGTAGGCCCCAAAGATATGCAGGGAAATAGAACTCAATTTCAGCAAGCTCACTGTCTAGCAGGAAACCACAGAAAGACACAAGACCAATAGGTAGGAATTGGCAAGGAAGGATGACAGAAAAGACTAATAGAGAAATCCTACAGGTCTGAAGGGAGAAGGAGACTAGATGAAACATCAGGCAGTGTTCTTCCTTCTAAATGATCAGTCTTTCCTGTCACCCCGACAACTGGACAGGAGGACACGTAAGCCTTTAACTTCAAACTAGTGTTTTTAAGGCCCTGCTTGGAAAATAAAGGCTTGAACTGGGCTCTCCTTATCACTGCTTCTTCCAACAGGCCCTCATCACCTTTTTTCAAGTCAAGATTTCATCCCATGCACGCATGACTCAATCAGATTTGGAAATGTGGGTAAGAGAAAGATATCAAAGGAAATGTGAAATACTCACTTTTCTATTAGTCACAACTTTTACACCATAGACTCCAAACAGACGTTAAGCCCCTGGTTTTCCTTTGGTTCAGAAAAACCAACCACCAGAAATTGCCCATTTTACCATTTATAGTTAGCCATAAAGAAAGGGAAATAATTAGATAAGTCATTCATAGACCCAATCATACTCAGGGCCTTCTCATCCAGCTCAGCCTCTCTGAAAAATAGTAAGCACCCTGGATACCAGTCGCTTTGGGGATTCAACATAGTCAAACTGGCAGAGGAATTAAACCTATTAAGAAACTGCTTTCTCTTTTAGAGGTACTAATTCTTCTGTCATGAGAAAATATGTAAATTAACTCAGCTATTATGATAGCTGTAAGCTGTTATCATAAAAGAGCCACTGATAGATTTTATTAGTCAAAATTGGGGAATACACACACACACACACATATACACACACACACACACATATATATATACATATACATACACACACACACACACACTGTATATGGCAGCGAGCAGGTTTGGTGGGTGTTTTGTTGCAGCTGCTGATTTTCTTTGCAGATGGTGCAAACTCCCCCGAGTCCATTTCCTGGGCCTACATTTCCACCTCATCGCCTAACTGGCTGAAGTCATCCACAGGGTCCAGTTGCAGTCACAGTGTGCAGGCTGCTAGCCCTGTCTGGAGGCATGGGAAGGGGGTGGGAGACAGCGAACACAACATGTATAGGTAGCCTTCGCTGACACATAAAATGTTAGAATGTCACTGTTTCCCTTGGCCAGTAAGTCCCATGTAGGACACTTTTTTTTTTACTCACTCATAGGTTTATAATTCAATTCGTGTGAGTTGGGAGACCATTGGCCTTCCTCCCCTCCCAAAGAAAAGGGCATTCACTGGCTTTCTTTGTGTCCTCCGAACTAGGGGCTGAAGCCTCTCCAATTAATGTATAGGGCTCAAAACCACTTTTAAAAACATCACTGGGCCTATGAGGAAAGACCTCAAATGTCCCAGATCTGGTGGAGGACAGGGGCAAGGGGAAGAAAGATAGGCGCAGAGGTCCCAGGAGGCTGGGCTTTGGCACCTTGTGGGCTCTTTGGCGGTCTCTCAGGGATTGAGCTTTTCTTTCCTGGGAAGAGAGGAAGTAAGGAAGCATGGGGCTTTAGATCTTTGCTACCAGAAGGAGGAAAGGATGTCACTTCCTCTCTGTTTCCTAGACCTAGATTAAAGAGGAATGAAGTCGGGGCTACCTATTAGACAGGGAAGAGTGCTGACTTGCTTCTGAGAGGCCCTTTTCCCTGTCCCTGCAGATATGCCCTGCGTGCAAGCCCAGTATAGTCCATCGCCTCCAGGTTCCAGTTATGCAGCGCAGACCTACAGCTCGGAGTACGCCGCGGAGATCATGAACCCCGACTACGCCAAGCTGACCATGGACCTCGGCGGCACCGAGATCACGGCCACAGCCACCACATCCCTGCCCAGCTTCAGTACCTTCGTGGAGGGCTACTCGAGCAACTATGAATTCAAGTCCTCCTGCCAGTACCAAATGCAGCCCCCTGGGCCGAGACCTTTGATCAAGGTGGAGGAGGGCCACGCACACGGCTACCACCACCACCCCCACCACCATCCCCACCACCATCATCAGCAACCGCCGCCGCAGCAGCAGCCATCCATTCCACCGCCCTCCGGACCGGAGGACGAGGTGCTGCCCAGCACTTCCATGTACTTCAAGCAATCCCCGCCGTCCACCCCCACCACGCCGGGCTTCCCCCCGCAGGCCGGGGCGCTGTGGGACGACGCGCTGCCCTCGGCGCCGGGCTGCATCGCCCCGGGCCCGCTGCTCGACCCGCCGATGAAGGCGGTGCCCACGGTGGCCGGCGCACGCTTCCCGCTCTTCCACTTCAAGCCCTCGCCGCCTCACCCGCCTGCGCCCAGCCCGGCCGGCGGCCACCACCTCGGCTACGACCCAACGACCGCCGCCGCGCTCAGCCTGCCACTGGGAGCCGCCGCAGCAGGCAGCCAGGCCGCCGCGCTCGAGGGCCACCCATACGGGCTGCCGCTGCCCAAGAGGGCTGCCACGCTGGCCTTCTCGCCGCTTGGCCTCACAGCCTCCCCCACCGCATCCAGCTTGCTGGGCGAGAGTCCCAGCCTGCCGTCGCCGCCCATTAGGACCTCGTCGTCCGGCGAGGGCACGTGCGCCGTGTGCGGGGACAACGCCGCCTGCCAGCACTATGGCGTTCGCACCTGCGAGGGCTGCAAGGGCTTCTTCAAGGTGAGCGCACGCCTCCTCCTGGCACCAGCCTTCTAAGCCACCCCCGCTCAAGTGAGCATCTAAGTGGGTCCTTCCCCGGTGTCAGAGGTGTAATTATACTCTGCGTTCCTGTAGCCTAGCACCTTCATATCCACCTTCTCAGGGTGGTTTAACTTGAAGTCCACTATAGGCGGCTGCCTCGGATGGACTTGAGGGGCTTTGAACTTCCTGGCTTGGCATTATCTTATGATCCTTATTCTGCGGGGAGCTTTCAGCAGATTCTCAAAGGGATCTCCAAAATGCAGAAACCTCATAACATGTCTCCTCTGTCCATTCTGACCGGATAGGGTCAGTGGGCCAGGTCATGGACATTTGTATCTCATTTGATATTCATAGTAAAAGCTAGAACTGTTGCATCAGACAAATCTAAGATTGCATTCTGGCCACTCACTAGCTAATTTTAAGTGTCTTGAAGGTAGACGTTAAGTATCTTTGTGTCATAGATGAGGAAATGGAGACTAGGAGAGGTTATTCAACTGCCCAGGACACACACTCGGAAAGTGAGAGGGAGACAGGAGGCCAGCTCATGTTTGCATCGCCCTCAAGTGCACACGGCCTTCACACCTCTGCAGCTGCAGAATAGGCAGCTGGATAGACAGCCCCCTCCGTAGAAAACAGAAGCTGGGGTCTTACCAATCCACTCTACCTCTGTGCCACGCACAGTGCCAGGTGTAGAAGTTGTGCATGATCTCACAGACCGAAGGAGAATTTTACAGTGGGAGGGTTTCGGCCTCGTCCATATTTTACCCATGAGGAAACTGAAGCCTGGGGAGCTGAAGGATTGTATAGCTTGTTAACAGCGAGTTATCAGTACCCAGGATGTTCCAACTGGTTTCTCCTGACTCTTGAGTTGGGCATTCTATATACCACTCAGGGGAAGGAGGCTTTGTTCTCTTGATACTCCGCTGTTGTTATTGGCTCCCAGACTTCTTCAGGCACTTAATTCTATGCCACTCTACCCACTCCCCTGATCATGATCTCAGGCATTTGCAAACCCACAAATGCTCTCCCACAATAATCAATCTGTAGCCTGCAGTGCTGGGCAGGGTGGAGGGAGAGGGGAAGCTAGATGCTGATTGGATAACTAGGATTTGGGAGGCCAATAGGATGTATCTGGGAGCAGGCTGGACTTGGAGAACACTCGAATAGAAGGCCTTGATCTGTCACCTTACAACTATATGACATTGGGTGTGACACTTCTTTCTAGGCCTCAGTTTCCCTATCAGGTGAATAAAATTCAGAGAAGAGCTGTGCGTAGTAAGTGAAATAAAACAATTATGAAAGCACTTTATAATCTTCAAAGGGCCATAAAACAATAGTTCATTATAAATGCAAACTACAAAGTATTTGTAAAAATTCATGTATTTGTGGATTGGTATATATACCAACAAGCAACCGCTATTTTTGATCTGGGGAGAGAAATCATGTGATTAATTAAATTCTGTAGAAAACTGCGGAAATGCTATGGAAAGACTTTGCAATGTAAATGCTATATTGAAAGTGTGCACAGGATTATGACGTTTTAAATGTAGAACCCTCAGTTTAGCCACTTTTTTCATTCTTAACTACTCAAGCTTCACCACGGTTACTTTCAAGGAACTGCATTCCTTTCACAGATTGATTTTTATATAATTTCAGTGGAAATGCTGAAGGGTAGTGAAACAGGCAGCCAAAAGAGGGGGAAAAATAAAAACAATTAAAAGATGTACTCGAGTAACTTCAAATATAACCATCCCTGCATAATTGAGAATAGACCAAAATATAGAAGTGGTAGTACATTCCTAATCTAGAAATGTCAATTAAGTGTTCCCCAACAGCCTTCCTTTTCTGCAGCAATCCCTTGAAAACAAATCTATATTTGAAAGGGCGGGCAGTAGAATGGAGAGAACCACCCCACAGATCTGTTAATTAAGGGAACGGGAGCAGGTTTTACCCAGTGGCTTTCTACCATTAAATTGAATTTTTTTTAAATGTGACATGAAATGCAGTTAATGATGGAATTCAGTGATTGAACTGTAACGATCTCTCCCTGTCCTTAAACTGTGCAGGCACACAACAACCATGGGAGAGGTTTCAGGTTATTGGGAAAATAGATACCTGAAGCAAAATGCCACCAGCATTCAAATTGGCATGTGGCCTTGAGGACAAGAAATATAGTTTTGGAAATTACTGCATGTGTGATGAGAGCTTCATTCAGGAAACGCAAGTTTCCTATTCTTAAAGACTGCTGAGAATTTGAATGCTGGAAACTCAGAAGCATATTTGTGTTTGGGAATTTTGCATTTTAAACTAAAATTACAGCTCTGGCTGGTGTGGCTCAGTGGACTAAACTAAAATTACTTACTAATGCAGGGAAAAAGTATCCGATTTTGTTAAATTTTTAAAGTTATATATAAGCAGTTTAGAAATGATGTCCTAAAGTGAAATTAAAAGATGATAGGATGAAAACTGATAAATGAGAGGTGAGGACTTCTGAAAGTAAAGACTGAAAATAAGTCTAGAATTTTAGGCAAGAAATAAATCACCAACCCCAAATTACTTGGATTTTCTTTTTTAGGCTTATCAAATAAATTCCAACTTTCTGCTATATTTGGAGTTGTGTAGATTCAGGTAATTTTTTAATGATCTCACCTTACATGGTAAATACATACATTTATTTGCACAAATGTTTTTAAATTAAAAAAATAAATCAAGCCTCCCGTATATTTAGAGCACAAAATTATGCTGTTATTTCTCCATGTGTGATTTTAAAATTATATGTGATTCTGAAGAATACAACATTATTTTATATCCAAGTCCAAGTTTTATGAGGTGTCTTTTACAATATGGCTATTTTGATGTCTATGTTTATAGTCATTTGTGAAATAACCTGTATTCATGGGAATTTTCATTGAAAATGTATGGCTGCCATATTCCTTTCTCTCATTTTTTTGTTTTTGTTTTGGATGTGATAGTGATAGTTTGTGTCCAATTTTAAGATTTTGATTTTAAATATCAAAAATGGCCATTTAACATCTATATTCTTCTAAAGATAAACTACACAGGCTGATTAAGTGATTTCTTTTGCATTAAAACATTATTTCCTATATGTTTTAACTAGACAAATCCTGATGTATGCTTTTTATGATTTCATCTCTATTGGGGAACAAAGCCAGTTACTATGATATTTGACTTACAAAAGTGATAGCCAACAAAGTACATCCCAGATAATTTTGATTTTATTTTAATAAGGTCAGCAATAATCAAGGGAGTAGAACAAGTAGAAAATTGTTCCCAAAGGGATATTAAAAGTGGAGATAATCTAATCCTCCAAGGTATGATATGTTGACCTGGTAATTTCAGATATGATTTTATCATTCAGACTTGGATGTCTCCTGAGACTTGCTTCAGAACAATCCGAGATGATTTTCATTGTCAGCAGCTAACACTAATAAAATTGTTTTTCCTGCAGGCTAGCGTGTTAGGAAATTAAATTTATCTAATTATACGAATTGCACTGTCGCTTTTCACATTGTAATTAAAATACATCTTGTCAGGTTCTACCTCTTTCCAGAAACTATTAGTTGACTATCTCTGTATTGTATTTTCTCAGAGAACGGTGCAGAAAAATGCAAAATATGTTTGCCTGGCCAATAAAAACTGCCCCGTAGACAAGAGACGTCGAAACCGATGTCAGTACTGTCGATTTCAGAAGTGTCTCAGTGTCGGAATGGTTAAAGAAGGTATGGGTATAATGCTTTTTATCCAACTTGCTTATATGTATTCTCAGATATTACTGAAAAAAATGTTAAGATTTATGTTGGGATGGTGAATTTTCCTTGTTTCCCTTTCCTTCCAATGTTTTGTTTTTACAGTGTATGTTTACATTTAAAAATAGCTGAGGACTACTTATTCTAATTTCTCAAAATCAATAGAGAGCTTGTGTACATACATCTTTATTCTGTTTAAGAAGGAGACTTTCAGGGCTAATTCATTACCAAATGTAAGTATGGGTGGCTTTTATGCTGCTTGTTTCAACTCTCATTAAATCATTGTGTGAGTATTATTCCAAACTTAGTGCCACTTTTAAACGGTTGGCCTATTAATGATTGCTCAACTGTGAAGTGTTTTTTAATCTCTTTTTGTGATTTATGGCTATTCACGAATATCTTTGAAGACATTTTTTCTCTCTTTCTCTCGGCGTCAGTTGTCCGTACAGATAGTCTGAAAGGGAGGAGAGGTCGGCTGCCTTCAAAACCAAAGAGCCCATTACAGCAGGAACCTTCTCAGCCCTCTCCACCTTCTCCGCCACTCTGTATGATGAATGCCCTTGTCCGAGCTTTAACAGACTCAACGCCCAGAGATCTTGATTATTCCAGAGTAAGTTTTATGATGCCCTGCTTTCGAATGAATGAGCAGGGCCTCTACTCAGATACTAGTAATATGAGTTGATTGAATGACTTTGTGACCGCCACTGTACTAAACAGTTTTCATACCTTTTCTATATTTCTCACTTCATTTAGCAATTCCAGGGCATCCCTTGCACCAAATAATTTTGCCTTATTGGATCCCTGAATGCCTTAACAAATGGCCTGACAGCGCTGCACCTGTCACGCTTATTGTTGCAGGATTCCGGGTGGTAGTGCCAATGAAAATCTGCACAGGTGCAATACAATTTGTAGATTTCTTTTATGGTTCAGGCAAAGTGGCTACTGGTTTTTTCATATTATGATCAAACCATCTGGGTGAGCTTTAAGTATATCCTTAAGCAGTTTACCCAATTTCATCGGCATTGATTAACCTGCTGCTTATTTAGAGGGATCAGACCATTGATGGAGAGGAATGAGCTCTGGCCTTGGCATCAGGAGGACTGGGATGGAATGCTGCATCTGCGGCTTCCTACCTGTGTCGCCTGGCTCCTGTTCTGGGCCTTCTCATCCCTACAGTGGAGATGACGACAGTGTTTAACCTCAGAGGGCTGTCCTGACTGTCAGGCACACAGGAAAGATGGTTGAGAAAACATTTGAAAACCACAAATGATTACCACTGTTGTTATTGAAGTCAACCAAAATGTACCAACATTCTTATTTTATATGAGATATAGTAAAATATCATCAGTTTGAATTCTGCAAATTGCCAGAAATTTAGATTACAAAGAGAAGAACAACGAAAAAGGATTTTCTAAGCAAATGTGTAAACATTACCCTAAGGCAGGTTTTAAAAAGACTTGCAAAAGCAAACTTCTAGTAAGACAGGGTCTCACCAGAGAGGGAAAGGAAGAAAAAACAATCTCAGTTGTTGGGCAGTTTCTACATGCTAGACATTGTGGTACATTGTCTCATTTAACCATTTAAAAAACCATGATCTGTAGGAATAGCTACCCTCACTCTAAGACAAGAAAACCTAGAAACACAATTTGCACATAGATCAGAGAGATACCAGTCCAGCGATCCCCAGTTGGTTGGTCTGGGTTGGCAGCTACTACCAGATTTCCCTCCCCAGGTCTAATCAGTATTTCAAATTTGTGGTTAAGTAGCTGGAAAAGAGTTGGAGTGTGTCTGTTATGGGTCCTCCTTCTAGGTTACAGTAATGTGATTGGTACATCCACTTTGCTCCTCCTTCACTCGTCCCTACCCTCATTATGGGCTGTGAAGACTCTTCTCTGAATTTGATAACAAGACTTCATAGAAGAATCATGGTAGATCTTTAGAACCAAAGGTTGAGGACTCTTATTCTGTTTACAAGTAGCATCTCTTGACTAAAGTCTCAAATAATAGTCCAGCATAATAATGCAGTGGTTAAGGCCTTAGACTTTGGAACCATGCAGGCCCCTAGATCAAAATCCCAGCAGCATCATTTAGGAGCTGGATAACATTGAACACCTGCTTAAACCTTTTAATGCCTCAGTTTCCTCATTTGTGTTATGGAATAATATTTACTTCCTGGGGTTTGTGAAGATTAAATAAGATGACACTCATCAAAGCTTTAGCACAGTGTCCTCCTTGTATGTCATCTCCACGACCAAAACCCATTCTACCATTTGTTGAATGTTCTAATGGTATGAGCACTTCACATGTCAGGTGCCATGTAGCAATACCATTAAGGTGAATGTTATTATCTCTGTTTTAAACATGAGGAGATTAAAACCGAGAAAGGCTAAAGGACTGAGTGAATGTCCAAGATCACAAAGCTAATATGCATCAGAGATAGAATTAGAAGCCAAGTGTATTGGACCCCAAAGTCTGTGCTCCTAAATACCAAACTTCCCTACATCTCTGGTTTCAGGGAGAGAGGTGAGAGAGGTGCTGGAAGAGCATTTGGGAATGAGGACCTCCTCCCTTAGGCAATTTTTCTGACTTAAGGAAGCTTTCTCGCACTGCCCATGCCGAGACTACACAGCACAATCTGTCATTATTCCAGGGTGTTTGAAATCACTTTTGGTGGTCAGGCCAGATAATTTAGGCTCCAGAAGTAAATTTTTTTGGCCCCAAATTATTCGATTATTGGTCTACATGGATTATTCAGTTATTCAGTGGCAAATCCTCTTCAGCACTTTGAGTTGTCCCAGCTGGGAACTGTCTCCACACTGAAAAAATCAATCCAGCATGTTTGCTTGTCTCTGCACCATTCAGTGTGTTAGACTAGAGTCATCATCCTCATCAACAAACATTTATCCAATTTAATTGTTAGCTTTGTCCAAAATAGCAGATTGACCATGACACAGTCTGGGTCACATTGATCTACCTTTGGGGCCTGGCTCAATTTTGTAAGGCATATTTATTTTAATTGCATTGTTTTGGAATCAGGTTGAACCTCATAGCTTGGATTCTCTTGCTTTTAGATAGCTTTACAAAATTATCAAAAATTGGACCCAAATCAATTAACTTTGAATTTTTATCAAAAACTTGGATGAAGGCAGAGAAGGCATGCTGATCACATTTGCAGATGACAGAAAGCTGGGAGGGATAGCTAATATGATGGATGTCAGTATCAACATTCAGAGTGATTTCGACAGGTTGGAACAGGATGGGCTGAAACCATCATGAAGGAAGTTAACAAAAATAAATGTGAAGCTAAGCATTTAGAATTTAAAAACATGGGAGGGCCTTGGCCTGTCAATAGTCCATGTTAAGAAGATCTTGGGAGTTTATTCCATACACACTTGCAATGAACCGACAGAGGATACATGTGGTAGAAGGGAGAGATGCTAAATTACCTTGGGCAGCGGAAATATGGTACCAGAACCAAGTTGGGGATGGTCCCATGGACTCAGTCCTATCTATCAGATCACACGTCAAGGTTGAGTCCAATTCCAAGCTGGGTTCAAGAGAGATGTGGACATACTGTTTCTGGAAACTTGTAAGGGATGATTGGAGGAAATGACCATATGTAGACAGGAAGGGAAAATGTTTGGCAGGTTTTAAGTCACTCTTTTGCCCTGTGGCAAAGAGGACTGTGGCTCTCAAGGACAGATCTGGAGGAAAAAGCTGAGGTGGGGGGGCTCCCTTTCAGTTCACTCTAAAGACAAGGATGAGCTCTCTTAGCTACAAGAGCTACTGTGGAAACTGTGATCATCAATACAAGTAACTAAAGAGAACATGTAACAGAATTTCTCACTAGCAGAGAGGTTATTTTGGATGATACTAAATTCCTTCCAACTCTAAGTTTTTATGATTCTGGCGTTTAGCTTATTATCCCTAAATGCAAATAATTACATACACATATACATATAAAAATACGTATTGTTAAGTAACTTGTTATTTAGTAAGATTGAACTTGCTTTGGCTGCCAGCTCATTAGATGATTTCAGGCCAGTTCCTGCCCCTCCATGGACCTGTTTCCTCATCTGAATGGTGAGGCAATTGGACTAAGAGCACTGCCAAGACCCTTCCAGCTTCTCATTCCCTGCCTCCCTGATCATTACGCCTGCTACGATGATCTGCTGTAACTCCACGATGGGTACAGGTCAGCACTTCCCAAAGTGCGGCGCCCACACTGCCTCTATCAGAAAGAGCCAGGGCGCTTGCTTAAAATGCAGATTGCTTGGCCATGCCTAGGCTGTCTGTATCAGAACTGGGGGGAGGGAGAAGGCAGACAGGAACCTATATTTTAATTGTTTTATATCTAATCTATATTTTTGCTGTTTTCTAAAAAAACAAAAACAAAAAAAAACCCCAGCATAAAATGAAGATGATTTTATTGAGTACCTAATACCTAAGCCTCAGCTGTTTCTGATAGAACTTATGGTTTTGGTAATTTTTTTAAGAATGTCATTCATTGAAACTCAATTTTCATAATACCTTCTCCTTAAAGTTTTATGTTTATAAATGTATACGACTGGAGGTGACCTTGAGATCATCTAATCCAACTCCCATATTTTCAGAGGAGTAAATAAAGGCTTCCAACGGTTAAGTCACTTATCCAAGGTCAGGGGCAGAGCCCAGCCTAGACCTAAATCTCATTATTCAGGGCATTTTGAATATGTTTCTAGTTCGCCATGCTGCCTCTGCTGTTTTATGGCAATATAACTAGGGTTTTGTTTAAAAAAAATTACAATGGTATTAATAAATCTCCATTGGTTTTTGAAAAAATCAAACCATTTAGAAGTGGATAAAGTGAAAAATGAAAAAATCTCTTCGTTTGTTCCTGCCCATTAACAGCTGTAGTATGTATCCATAATTTATTACATTTTAGATAGGAATTTGCCCTGTCAGTCTTGAGTCAGACAGTTGATTGGATGGAAACAATTTATAAAAGGTACTAGCTTCCCTCCGTGAATTAGGCAAATAGAGAAATGAAGAAATATTTGCCAGACAGGTATGTACATTCCAATCTCCTTGTACCAGCATATGTGCCTTTAAGGCAGTGAGCGGTTTTCCTCATTGGTGGGAAAGGAGGTGGAAGATTTGTGTTCCAAGTCACAGAGGGAATGAACGTTCTGGAGGCCAGAAAGAGAACGCTCGCTCTGTGAAGCGTTTCTGGCTCTGGGACCTTCACATTTCCTTTGGGCCAAACTTCTCTCCTTCAAAACTGAGCTCAGATCATTGTATATCAGTGCAGTCAAAACATGTCACATTTGATTTGTTTCTTCTTGAAATGTTGCTATTCCCTGCCCCACAGTTGCTTTTAATTTAGCAATATGAGTATATATAGATACTGGGCTTGGTTTCAGAGACTGCATAATTACTAATGAGAAAATAAACTTAACCTCCTCATTAGTTGGTCATTTCAAGTATTTTTCAGCAAACTGGGATGTTTTCTGGTAATTGGTGTCACTTAGTGTAGTAACAGACGCCAAATACAAGAGATACTGCTCAGATAAAACCAGGCACCAGCAAATGGCATCTAAGTATGTTAACAAGATAGCTTGAGAAATAACATGGCTAACACGTGCGAGACCTACAAAGTAAACAGCATGAAAACTCTGCAGAGGCTGGTTTCATGAGGCTCCTCAGAAATGGCCACCAGCTCATTAGATGATTTCAGGCCAGTTCCTGCCCCTCCATGGACCTGTTTCCTCATCTGAATGGTGAGGCAATTGGACTAAGTGCACTGCCAAGACCCTTCCAGCTTCTCATTCCCTGCCTCCCTGATCATTACGCCTGCTACGATGATCTGCTGTAACTCCACGATGGGTACAGGTCAGCACTTCCCAAAGTGCGGCGCCCACACTGCCTCTATCAGAAAGAGCCAGGGTGTTTGCTTAAAATGCAGATTGCTTGGCCATGCCTAGGCTGTCTGTATCAGAACTGGGGGCAGGGAGAAGGCAGGCAGGAACCTATATTTTAACGAGCACCTCAGATGACTCATTGGCACACTCAAAATTTGAGAACCATCAATAGAGTTTAATAAGAACAATTCAATTTTGCATTGAATCGCCTCTTTCCTGGCTTTTCTTGGACTGTCAAGGAATGAGCAGTAAGGATATAAATTTTCAAGAAAGCTATTAGTTCATTTAATAAATATGTGCTGAATGGCTCCTGGGTGTCAGGCACTGTTCTAGAGCACGGCCACATTGTCAAATAAGAAAAGCGCCTCCAATCATAGAGCTCACCTGCCCTGAAGGAAGGAGAGTAAATACATAACTTCAGTGATGCCACTGGCGAGAAGAGGGGGGTTTTGTTTGTTTCTGGTTTTGTTTTTAAAGGGAGTAAATTAGGTAAGAAAAGAATAAATATGGGGAAAAATATGTTCACTGATAATTTTTGAAGTGTCACTTTTTAAAGTATAAGAGCCTAAGAATATATATCTATAGTTTGGCCTACAGGATGATCACATCTAAAATATATAAAGATGCAGGGAAAAGTAAAATTGCAAAGGGAGATAAAATGTTCTTAGGGTATTTTACATGGTTAGCCTGGACTGACAAGTGAGATAGAGTAAATACCAGATTCCATGCTGCTATGAAAGTATCACATTGCTAATTTTTTTTAGGGCTGGTGTTCCATTCAAATAACTTGTTTTAGGCCTAGGCTTTGCCTGAAATCTGACCTGTATAGCCATATTATTGCCATATGAAATGTGTAGGCTCATTTCAGTTTAAATAACTTTCATTGTTGTTTGTAGCTCCAGATTCTCATTCCAGGTGCTTTGGTGAAATCACCGTTAGATGTTAGGTGTCAGTAAATGTTTACTGTATCTTTGGCTGGTGGTAAGGCCAGATTTTTGATGGATCAATTATCCATAAAGACTAGCATAAACAGGAAAAAAGATTCATTTCTAAAGTATTTCTCTATTTGGCCTATGTTTGATTGGAATAATCAATAAACAAGTATTTCTAGATTCTCTTTGGTGAACCCCAAACCTGCCTAGCCCTGAGAGAATAATATAGGGGAGCACACAAGCAGAGATGGGGGGTTGGTTCTTCAACTCCAGGTCCGGTATTCCTTGGTGAGGTTTTTATAAAGTGCTAAGCCAGGCAGAGAAAGAATCTAAAATGTTTTGTTATGTTTATTTTTTTGCAACATTTAATACAGTTTTTATTTGTTTAACTGTTGTATTTCCTTAAGTCTTATGTTCAGTAGAGGGGATACTTGGTTTGTCTTTCCCCTCAGCATTGGATGCTTACCCTCATTTCACCCCCACGTTAGTGGTGGCTCAGGCTGTGTCCAGTCTGGCTCCAGAATACTGACACAGGGACTAGAATCACGGCAGGTGAAGCCCAGGGAGTCTGGCTGGAGCCTGCTATGCCCGGCCTGCTGACTTTCCTCCTTGCTGAGCCTCATCAGAGAAAAGCAGATACGCAGGGCAGGCAAGGGCTGCAAAGTGTGCAGGATGCACGAAATGTGAGCCCGGCAGGGCTGGAGGCCTGCAGAGGACCCCAGATGAAAGCTGAGTGCTCTGGAGTATGGTGAGCAAATATGGCAAGCAGAGAGATTGTTGAGTTGTGAGCTATGGTTTCAGGGAAGTCAGTGCAGAAGGGAGCTGTTAGATCCTATTCCCAGGAAAAAGTTTACATCCTTTAGTCTTTTTCTGTCCATGTAATACACTATTTTAAAACAAAATAATGATGAATCAAGGTCAAATTCTAAGCAATAACATCATACCTGGTGTGATTAGCCACATTTAGAATCATCGAATGCAAGAGCCAGCACGTGGAGCATTCACCAGGATTGCTGATACTCTGGGCCATAATACACACCCTAACAAATTTTTTAAAATAGAAATCATACAGTATCTACTGTCAAACCACAATGGACTTAAGCTAGAAACCAATAACAGAAAGATAGCTGAATTTAAGAGCTGGGAGGAATCTTAGGGATCAGCTACTGCAGTCGCCTCCTACTTCAGAGGCAGAAACAGACCCAGAGAAGTTAAGTGACTGATTTAGGGCTGCACAGCAAGTCAGTGCCAGAGCCTGGAAGAGGACCCTGCGACCCGCTGCCCCTACTCCATGGTACTATTCATTTGGAAGCTTCACATTGTAGTGCTGGCAGCTTTCAAAAGGGGGTTCTGCCCTGATTTTTCAGCCTGCCCTTTGAGAGCATGTGGAATTAGATTCATATCAGAGGAGAAAGTTAAAAAAGTAAAATAAAATCCCCTTCTCTGACTCTCCTCCAGTTAATAGTGCGCACGTGCTGAAAAGAGGTAGTGAGAAGTGTCTGGCACCGGGTTCAGACTGCCATCCTTAGCTAAGTGTGGGACTTTGTTCCTACGGTCTGTTACATCACAGAAACATCCAGGGCTTCCTAGAATCCAGGCCCTGGGGGGGATTCCTGGGAACAGAGGATCCAGGCTTCTGAACTGGACCTGATATTATAGGATCCTAGAAAGTCAGGGCTGAAAAGTAGAAACCTTCCCCCTTTTTATAAATATAGAGGCTGAGGGACAGTGGGAGTTTCAAGTATCACAACTGTTCTCAGTGTCGTCACTGTCATCATTTGGGAAACATGTTCTCGGTGTCAGGCCGTTCGCATATATTATCACATTGAATCGTCGCAACAGAATACTGGGGAAGGTATTATCCCGGCTTTACAGAGGAGAAAACTGAAGCTCAGAAAAGTGAAGTCATTTACCCCAGATAACTAAAGCAGCAGAGCTACATTATTTCACAAATGAGGGGACTGGACAAATCTAGGATTAAAGTGGCTCGGCTCCTTGTCTGCTGTTTCTTTTGTTATTTCATCATGCCTCTGGGGAAAGCACAAAGAAAAAGAAAAAAGGCCCAATTAAGACAAGTGCCTCCTTTCCTCATACCAAACTAGTTCTACAATAAGGATCTGGCTGCTCATTGGCCGTTTCTCCTCCGGCCAGGTTAGGGCTTTGTGGCAAACCTAGGCACTCCCTTGACTCTTCTTTCATTGAACAATGTTCAACAACTATTGAGTGAGGGCGAATCTTGTGCCAGCCACTGGGCTGCTGACAAAACATGGGACCAAATGAACACATACCCGGAGACCTCCAATTAGAGCAAAGTAAAATGCTTTTGTAAAACTATACCACAGGCTACCAGTTCAGAACATCAGATGTTATTAATAGCTAGGAGGAGTAGGACTGGAAACTACAGGCCACACTTAAGTCTTGGCTGTACCACTGTTGGTTATGTAACTCTGGAAAGTCTCTGCCTCTCTGAGCTTCTCCAAGCCTCAGTTACCTCATTTGTAAAATAAGAATTAAAATTCATACCCCAGGAGATAAGGGATGCAAAAGCACGTGCAGCTGTTCGCATGAGGGCAATGACGTGCCTATTCACGTGAGTGTTTCTGCAGATCTGCCTGTGCTGTTGGCTGTCCCTTCATTGCCACCTTGCTCTATCAATCTTTCTGCTTGAAGCAGGAAAGATTTTCTTCCTGTGGTTCAGGCAAAACCCTGACTCTACCAGAATACCCAAAAGCTGGGGAGAGACTGTTCCTATTTGTATCTTTCTTCTCCGGGCCCCCTCTAGATCAATTCTGTCCAATAGAATGTTCTGTGGTGATAGAAATGCTCTGCACTGCATGTGGCTTTTAAGCGTGAAATATGACTAGTGTGACTGAGGAACCGAATTTTTAATATAATTTTCTTTAATTTAAGTAGCCACAAGTCCTGAGTCTGATGGTGCACAGCTCCCTAGGCCCTGCTAAGGGGATACCCTCCCCCCTCCTCTTCCTGGTTGGTTTTGTCTCACAGAAATCCATCTACAATAAGCAGAAATCACTCTCTTCTCCTATTCATTAATTCTGTCATTCCAAACTTCAGCGTGCATGAGAATTGCCTGGAGATCTTGATAAACAGTTTCTTGGGCTTACTCTCAGTTTCTGATTCTGTAGGTCTCTGGCAGGGCTTGAGATGTTCCTTTCTAGTGCATTCCCTGGTGTTGCTGATGCTGCTGGTCCAAGGGCCACACTTTGAGAACCATGGGTTAATTAAGCATCTTGTTTGGAGACAGCTTTGCTTTAGTGGAATCAGTAGATCCTGGAGACTCACACAGACACAACCCCCTGAGGTGTTGGTTCTCAACACTAGCTGCCCTTTTGGAATCACCTGGGGAGTTTTTAAAAGTCCCCACAACCAGTCCTCAACCCAGACCAGTTAAATTAGAATCTCTGTGCTGATGGCCCAGACAGGAGTGTTTTTTAAAGCTCCCCAGGGGATTGCAGTCAAGATTGAAAACCACTGCACTGATGGGACTTCTGCAAATTTGTCTATCAGGTGGTAACAAAATCCACTCTACATCATGGGGCCACTGTGAGAATCAGATGAGATAGTGAATGCGGAAGGGTTTCCTAAATTGCAGCACCTAAAAGTAAGGATTCAGGCATAGACAGTCTTGGAAAAGCCATTTGCAAACGATGCTGTTTTCCCTGTTGAACTGAGATAACGCTGCTGTCTGTGGCTTGCTTTCTAGTACTGTCCCACTGACCAGGCCGCTGCGGGCACAGATGCTGAGCATGTACAACAGTTCTACAACCTTCTGACAGCCTCCATTGACGTATCCAGAAGCTGGGCAGAAAAGATCCCCGGATTTACTGATCTCCCCAAAGAAGATCAGGCATTACTTATAGAATCAGCCTTTTTGGAGCTGTTTGTTCTCAGACTTTCCATCAGGTAATCACTGTTATTTTATCTTCCTTCAGTCCACTCCTTCCTTTGAGGAAGTTTGAAACTTGCTGTGTTTGCAAATGAGTCATCGGAGAGAAGTTGGATCACGAAGAAAATATAAAATATGATCAGGCATTAAAAAACTGATTAGTGGGGGCCCAGGCCACGTAGCTCAGTTGATTAGAGCATTGCCCTGACATGCCAGCATCGCTGGTTTGATCTTGGATCAGAGCACAATCAACTGTGGAAGGGCAGGTCAATGCTCTCTCTCTTTCTCTAAAATCAAAAAATAATTTAAAAAACAACAACAGAGTAGCAGGTAGTGCACTGGACTGGAAGCCACGACTCCTGGGCTCTATCATCAGTTCTACTATGGACTTGCTGTAAGACTTTGAGCAGGTCACTTGCCTCATCAGAAGTTTGGTTTCTTTCTGTGTAAATTAAGGAGGTTGGATTTGTTGATCTTGGAAGCTCCTTGTAACTCCAGCATTCTCTGATTCTAGAAAGAGTCCCATGGTGCATAAGGTATTTCCTGGGAGCAAGTATTTATTTTGAACATTGCATTTACCTCACGGGTTTCTATTTACGAGTCACTGTTCTAGTAAGCCAGATGTGGCTTTAATGAGTTCCCACAGCTTCTCAGCCCGCAGTGTTTACTCCAAGAGAACAGCTTCTGGATCAAAAGATTTGGTTCAACTTGTCATACTCAGTGACACCAAGCACAAAGCACAAGTTCTTTTTCAAAAAGCTGGAGCCCAGTCTCATAAAGTCCACCTGTAGCATTTGAAATTCAATCTTCTTTGCTTCCTTGCAGTTACGTATTTTTAGGAGATGGTACCAACATTTCACCAAATATTATAGGAAAAAGTCTCCTTTCTCCTTATTCTCTTCCTTAACCCCTCACCCCACATTTCATACTGTGTTACCAGAAATTCTTGTTTGAAGTGAAGACTCCCATGCCTCATTCCCAGCTATTTTGGTTTGGAGCTTTCTTAGAGGCAGTCCAGAAATCTGCATTTTACCTTCTGCTCCAGTGATTCTGATGCCAGTGGTCTGAGGTTCAGGTTTTAAACTCTGAGACTGAGCCATTCTGTCCTTGTATACCCCTGTGGAGGAGACAGAGGTGGAATTACAACTAGAGGGCCAGTAATTAACATCTTTACAGCTAATCCAGTGTACGCAGGAGCCAAACCAGCAATGTGACTATCATCTGTTAGGCAGGCAGCAAAGGATTAAGTAAATGATTAGCTCCATGCAGGCAGGCACTGTATATGCTCTATTCACCAAGTCTTCTCTAGAGCCTGGCTCTAGGAATGGCACAGACGTGGGGCTCAAGAAATACTTGACGAGTGAGTGAATGAATGAAGCTATTCATCCAAGAGGCTCAGTTAGAGAGAGATTAAGTTGTTCGTGCAGTAGGCTGAAAGAGATAGCTATGTGGAAAAAGATTTGAAAATTAAAGGGAGGCTAAGATTGAAGTTAGGATCACAGAGAATTCAGAATTAATTATACCCAACACTTCTCTTGTGTACTAGGCACTGTGCATGGGCTTTCAAATCCTACATTTTATTTAATTCCCACAACAATCTTAGGAAGCAGCAATTAGAACTCTTGTTTTGTACTTAAGGAAAAGGAAACTTAGAGATAGTAAAGGAGCACCCAAGGCCCCACCCAGCTGAGCGGTGATGTCCAACCAGAAGCTCCAGGGCACCTTTCATGAGAGAACTATGGGATGTTTATGGACATAATATACACTATCAGGACAGATGGAGAAATAGCCCTCTGCAGCTCCACTGCTGAAAGCAGAGAAGGTAATACAGGATAAGGACTTTTCAAATTCGGGGCCACTTATTACTTGGTGATTGACTTCTAGCACTTGCAGGGGCTTGGTGTTTTCAGAGTCTGCACATTGGAATCATAGTATCTGGCCTCGGGCCTTATCAGTTTTTGACATTTAAGAAAATGAGCAAACATCTTGGTTCACTGCTGAGAGAGGTGGTGCACTGAGCTTCACCTGCCTAGTTCAGTGTCCTGTTCCAGGGTGAGTCCGAAACAGGGTCTCATGCTCACCAAGGACATTGGCATAGAAAGTGGTGGTGGTCGTTTATCCCAGGAGCACAGTCTTGCTCATCAAGGGCGTTTTGGCAGGTTTGACAGCAGCATTCTGGGTCCCCAACACTGCCTCATGGCTGTCTGGGTCCCTGTGTGTTATGATATTATCCCACTGGACAGACTGAATAGATCTATTTAACGTTTCTCTATCCCCCGCTCCCATGCCTTTCTCTTGCAGGTCAAACACTGCTGAAGATAAGTTTGTGTTCTGCAATGGACTTGTTCTGCACCGACTTCAGTGCCTTCGTGGATTTGGGGAGTGGCTCGACTCCATTAAAGACTTTTCCTTAAGTTTGCAGAGCCTGAACCTTGATATCCAAGCCTTAGCATGCCTGTCAGCACTGAGCATGATCACACGTAAGCACCGCCCTGCTGTCACCCGAAGTGACCGCGTCCCCCTTTCTCCCCTTTCCTGTGTTAAGGTGGATTCTGGCTTTGGCTGTCGCACACACCAGAAAATTAGGAAAATGATTGCCACTTTTCCAAAATCTGCTGTTTAACCCAGTTTTAAGCCAGAGATGTGTATCTGCAACGTATTGTCATGAACCTTCAGGGGAGAGGGCTCCTATTGGGTTACCATTGTCAGCAAGCCCAATATGTGAAAGTCCAAATTTCCACAGGCACTCTGTTGACAGTTGAACTAACTGCTTCAGGGTTACTTTTACATGGCGCTTCAAAGGAAGGTTACCTTAACCAGCCTGTTCCTGGGGGACAGAGGGGCAAGACTTCCTCTCTCCCCAGTCCCTGGCTATTGGGCCAAAGTAAAACCAAAGAACTACACACATATAAAACACACCTTTATTTATTTATGTGCCACTTTATTTAACAACTTCAAATGGCAGAGGACTGAGGAAAATGGGTAGCTGTAAACCGCAGAAATGGCTCAACTCAGTAATTTTTAAAAGTTTAGAAACAGAAGGATAAAACATATTCAGTTTCTATATTATACCATTCTCTCCCTAGACATCTCTCCCTTGCTATCTTTTGGGAGATAAAGGGTTCCAAGATGGAATGAGAGAGAATAAAAGAGAGAGAAAGAGAGAGCGCATGAGAGAGAGAGAAAACTAGACAGGCATGTTGGGTTAGAGAGGAGATGCCCTCTCCCTGTGGCTGCTCCCCAGGCCCAAGTCCCGAGCTCCCTCTGTGGCTTGATGCTTTCATAGTTTCCCGTTTGATCTCATCCTTCTTGGCCAGACTGGGGTCTGGGGAGGCAGTGACAACTGGTGGAGGCTCCAGAGGAGGCTGGCCAGACCAGGGGCTCGCCTCCCATTTTTTTCATCAGACTGAAGCACAGCCTAGGCTGTGGGACTAAGAATTGAGGTTCAGGTTTGATACCCTCTTGACTGCCTGAAAAGCATGTGTTTTCAGGCAGGTGATGAGTTTCACAGAGGACCAAATGCATCTTTTGGCACAGAGGGCCCTCCCTGCCGATCGTGCAAGATGTGCCTTGTGTCCTGGCACCTTCTTGGGCCCTTTCCTGTTACCTTATGTGAGATATATCTGAGTACCTTAAGAGGCTAGGCTGGTTCATCACTGAATGATTTACATGGAGGTGAAGAAAATTAAATGGCATGTGCTAGAGTAGGAATGTTTAGCTAGTAGGACACTAGCTAGTTCTTTCTGTATTCCAAGTGGAACCTCGCCTCCTCCAGGTCTTTGGTCCTGCCTGAGTAACTCCATTCTTCTCTTTTTTTTAAGCCTCACCCAAAGATGTATATTTATTGACTTGAGAGAGAGGGGTGGGGCGGTTGGGGGGAGAGAAATATTGATGTGAGAGAGAAACGTCAATCAGTTGTCTCTGGTACACGTCCTGACTGGGAATCAGACCTGCAACCTTTTGGTGTAAGGGATGATGCTCCAACTAACTGAGCCACCCAGCCAGGCGAAACTGGCTTCTTTTTGGCGGGAGCTCCCAGAGACTTCCGAGGGAGTCATTAATGAAACAAAAATAAAGAGTGTCTAAAGGTATGGAGTCGATTTAAAGGACTTTCAAACCAGGAGCACCCAAAGAAAGTAAGCACACTTAAGACACAAGTGTATTATTACTCCAGCAGAACTGTAATGAAATGGGTTCAGCAGCTGCCTTTCATCCAAAGTGCTTCAGCTCAATTTCAAAACCATTCAGCTCTTCCTAGGACAGTTAAACATTCAAAACTAGGGAGTATGGTGTTTTTTTTCATTTAAAAAAAAACAAATAACATCTAGAGCCAACCTTGGCGTTCGGTAAATAAACCCAGTACATTGCCACATCTCTATGGAAATCAAATCTCTATAGTTAATCAACCAGCGTTCACTGATCTAGGCACTCTGACATTTCGGTCGGTGTTCAGAGGTGATAACACACACCCCTAGAGGGTACATGTGATACAAGGTGTTGAGAGCCATGGTGGGAATGTGGGGGCAGGGACAAAGTGCGGAGAGGCCAAAGACGGGGGGTAGTCTTCTCAAAAGAGGTAACAGGACCTGGCCCTTGATTAAAGGATACGCTGTTGCCAAGCTAAAATGGAAGGAGTGAGCTTTCTGAGCATAAATAAAAATTCTCTAAAGCCATTGAAAATGTGCTTCAGGATGGCTATGTCTAAAAAGAGTGGAGTGATGGGAAAGGAGACTGCTATGATAAGTAAGGGCGGCATCGGATGTGAAGAATCTTTCACACCTAGGTGAGAAGGTTGGAGTTCATCTTGAGGGGATCTGTGGAGACCCACAGAAAGTTTGGACCTGAGGAGCATCTTGGCAAAGCCTGCATTGTAGAAAGATCTACCCTGACAGCTGGTTCTGAGCACAAATGGTAGCCGACAGGAGACTGAGAGAGAAAAGGCCAGCCCAGGTGCGAGAGCTGTCGTTTAGGAGGATGGCCCGAGGTCTGTGTCTTTGTTGTTGTTGTTGTTATTTTACTTTTTAAGTAAATATTAATGGACAACTCTGAGGGCAGGCGGTCCCAATGTGGAGAGACTGGACGGAGTAGGAATCAGGAGAAGGTGGTGGCAGCGCTGTGCTCCTGTGGGTGTGGCCGCTCCGCCCGCCGCCGGTCACGGGGAGACTTGCTCAGGGAGGAGGCCGTTAGGCACAGCAGAAGTAGCGTGGGCCTGGGAATCCTGCTTCTCCCCTGAGTTTTAATCTGGGGTCCCACATTTCATAACTTAAGTGCCATTGGGTAATGGGTTTTATTTCTCTGAACTTTAGTTTTCCCATTTTTAAAATGGGGGTGACAACATCTATTCCATGAGGTGGCAGTGAGGATTACATCAGATTAGGTTTGTGATGCAGCCAGGCTGAATTCAGAAGGGGCACTCGATTCACCTGCAGTCCATCTTGGAGGGCTGGTGACAGGGACCCCCTCACATTAGGCACATGCCCACCCCTTCCCCTTGGGAGTCCCATGTAGTCCCGGATTAGTCTCAGTGATGTGAGGAAAACAGATGATGGCTTTAGAAGGCAGTATGTTTGGTGAATTTTTTCTTGGATGTTTGAGAGAGGCTCAGAGAAGGACAATGATATTAAAGGAATTAAGTTGCACTTAAAACGCACCAAGTCTTTTATGGTGGAGTTCAGTGTCTGCCCTCAGTCCTGCCGGCCTGTGTAGAGCGGGTTGTTTTAGGTGCTGTGGTTATAACGTACGTAAACCCATCTTCTCTCATTTCTGGACCTTAGAGTACTCTTTTTGTGATTTGCTGGTTGGGAGGGGGTTTGAAATGTGTGAAAGCATCAGGAAGTGGCAGAAAAGGCAATGCCTGGGAAACAGCAGTGTGCATTGTTCTGGATATTAATTTTCATTTGAATATGGGCTCCCATGAAATCTTGTCTTCTGAATAAGCTCTATTGATCATAAAGGGTGATTGTGGACTATCACTTGGGCTATTGGCTCCAGAAAACACACCACCCAAAATTGTCTGTTCCTAAACCACAGAGAACTCATGAAAAGGAAATGGGGTCTTAGAAGTCTACCCAGTCTTGCTTCCAGGAAAATTAAGAATCTGGACAGTACTGAGAGTTTGCACCAATGCGGCTTTTTTTTCCTCTAATTCTTTTCTTCTTCTTCTTCCTCCACCTCTCTCTGTGTGAAAAACTGGGTGGCGAGGTGGGGCAGGAAATGGTTTGCTTCAGATCACTGTCCTTCCCAACAGTGAAAGGGAGTTCCCCACAGTTGTGGTTGTTGAATGTTTTTAGGTCCCCGGTTCACCTGCCCTAATCATTCCATTTTGCCAGTGCCACATCCCTCCCATAGAGTAATAAAAATGCCTTGCTTCTGATAGGGTACAAGTGAGGTGATATCTAATTGCAGTTAATTAAGATTAATAAATAAAGAGCCCCCTCAAATAGAAAGTTTGTGTGACATTACCATTTTATAAGTATCCTTTCTTTAAACAAATACTGAGGGCTATCTCGATGTCAGGTGCTGTGTCAGGCTCTCAGGATGCGTGAGTTCTGCTGTCAGAAAGCATACAGCCTACTAGGAAGTCATATCTGATTATGATGCAAGGAACTCGATGTATGGTGGTTAGTGCTCAGGTCCTTAAAAGGGACAGATTCAGTACAGGGGAAGTCCAGATTACTGCTGCTTTTTGGGGGGTGTAGAAAGACGGAGGTGCTGGTCATGAATGGCTTCCCAAGCAGTTGATATCAAGATATGGCAAGATATAGAGGAAGGACATTGCAGATCAATTGCAAACAGCATCGCGAAATCATGGCAATAGAACACTTTAGCACATTTCGGGGGAAAGCAGTCACCGTGGAATTGCATTAAACATTTACTAAATTGCATATATAATTTCAGTAGCAAGAAGAGAAAAATTAAAAGAGTGCAGGCTGTGTACTCAATGACCATAGGTCCTGGAGTGAGCATGAGAGCGAATGCACGTGGGTCCTGGTCTCTCTGCTTCCAGTGTCTCCCCTGCGTAGGAGACTTGGTGCTGGAGAGACAGCAGCGAGCAGATACAATCCCTGCACCCATGGAACTTACATTCAAAGGAGGAGGCAGGCAATAGTCACATATAGATCTGATTTCAACCTGTATGTCCTTCCGAGAGAAAAAATAGAAAAAATAATCTAGAAGTAAAAGGGAAAAGCTTCCTTCAAGAAATATTTGATCTGTGATTTCAGAATGAGTAGATTTTAATTAGATGAAGAATGGAAAAACATGAACCCAGACCTAAATAGCTCTGTTATTTCCCTCAGTCAATCTCTCTCCCTTCCCTCTCTCTTTCCTTCTCTCTCATTCCTTCACCCTCCCTCCTCACTCTCCCTCCTCTCCACTATTCTTCCTTGCCTCCCTTCCTCTCTCTCTTAGAGGAGATATTTATGGCATGGATCGCTAAAATGCATAGGAATCCAACAGTGTCTATAGATGCTAACACTACACAGGTCAGGAGTGTGACCTATTGTCTGTTTTGTTCACTGCTCTAACCTCAGTGGCTATAACATTGCATGGCACGGAATAGGTATTCAATAAATATTTGTTGAAGGAAGTAATTAATCAATTAGTTAATTAGGTACACAAAAAATAGGCGGGAGTTACAGAGAGCCAAGTTCATCTCGGAACAAGGAGGGACATCTAACATAATGTTCAAGACAGCCTGATATAATAGAAATATTTCTGAACTTGGAGTGAAAGAAATTAACAACCTGTTAATTTTGACCATGGGCACATCACTTAACTCTCTGAGCCTTACGTTATCTATTAAATAATAGATCACCTTTGTCCTGCCTAATTCAAAGGATTATTGTGAGGTTGTGAGTATGTAAAACACAGAGTTTATTCCTGTATTATCATTTATTAATTATTGCATTATTTTCCACATGAACAACTGTAAACCTACTTTTGCCTACCCCTGTATTTATTATCAGGTGGAATAATGAACTCCTAGCCCAGTTGGTGCTGGGTATTCTCTGTAACATCTTGTTCTGTAGACTCTTGTCTTACGTGGGAGTTTGAACAAAATGACTCAAATTCTTTCCAAGTTATATATACTATGGTTTTGACACATAAATTCATTATTTACCCATTTCCATAAGTTGTATTTTAAAGTTTTGAATACATAAAGCTGAGTTAAAATATTGAAATATTGGATAAAAATGATGTAGATCAAAAAGCAAAAAATACGGAGAAGCTTGTTTAATGGTGGACAAAGATCTTAAACTAACATCTGTGTATAATTCTCTAGGAAGGGGAAAAATTCAAATGTCTGATTTCCTCCAGAATTTGTGAACACTCTGAATATCAGTTCTGCAGCCTTGTTTCCCAAGCTGCGAGAAGAAAGGGGGTCCCTTAAATGTCAGCGATTGGGGTTTTGAGGAATTTCAAATTACTAGGAAGCTCCTAGACACTTAGTGACTCCCTAGTGATTTGAAAACCTTGCTGGCTGCTGGCAGTAGTTTGCATGGAGACTGAATTTTATCTCAGCCCTTTTGAAAAAGTAAAGAAGCCACAAATCCAGTAGCTGTTCAAAACAACAAAGAAGGTGCCTTTGGCTTCTAACAGGAGTGTCTCTGAATTCCTCAAGGAATTCCAAGCCTAGGGTTGATCCAGCTGGCAGGAGGTATCGATCTCCACTTGAATTCACTGAATAAATAATGGTTGCCATAGTTATTGAGCAGTCACAACTGGTTGGAGAGCAGGGAAAACTCCCAGGCACCTTTTGTGAGTTTGGCCATGAGAAAGTCTGGTTACAAGGCTCCATAATCACCCCACTTCCGAAATTCAGCCAACAATATTGTTCAATTTCTTTATTCTGATAATGAATATGGTATCTTGAGTATAATTCAAGACATGATGCACTGAAAGGAAAGGAAAACTTAAAACAACGGATTGGCATTTTATTCAGGAAGAAGCATCTCTCCCTGGGTTATGAACCTAATTTGATATATCTCAGTATTAACAGAATGTACTATCAGCAAGGTGATTTTGTCATCATGCTATAGCTACTAGAAGGCTTCACAAAGGACCAAATCCTTGTTTGTTCTATGTTAACAGTGTTTATTATACAAATAGCATTAGTCTGGAAATTTTAAAAGAGTTATCTGACAATCTCATAAATATTTTCACATTTCTGTTTTCTTTCATTCTTCTCTGTATGCAGAAATAATTTTTACATAGATGTAATCACAGTTTAGATGCCATTTTATGTTCTATTCTCTGTTAAATGTGATGTTATGTATTTTTCCATGTTGCTTCTTAGCCTTAGTATTGGTCTTTTCTGATGTCTACGGAATCTTCCATTACGTGGACATACTATTTTTTACTTAACAGTTCCTCTATCCTTCCACTCTTTATCTTTCCCCAGCTTTTAAAATAGATAATGCTATCCAAAATGTCTTCATGCACACAGTTTTATTCTTCTGTTGAGTTTTTCCTTCAGATAAATTCCCATGAGTGGGATTACTTGGTCAGAGGTTATGAACATTTTATAGCTCTTAAAATATACTGCCAAATTTGCAGTCTGCTTTTTTTTTTTTTTTTTTTTTTTTTTTGCTTTTGGGGGAAAAATAAAACTTTAGGCAGAATATCATTGCAGACTGGATTACTCTTGAAGTTTACTCCTGAGTTCCTGTATTGAATAAAGGTAAACCATAGAGGACAGATTGGCATCTGGACTGATTAGCTAATAGTTTCCTGGGGAAAGAAAAGTCATACACTACAAAGCTTAGGAACTAGGGGGTTTTATTGCCTTTTTTTTTTAAGGACCCTGCAGTTGGCAGCCATTGCCATGTGTCAGGCATCACTTAGGTGCTGACTATACCATGAGTGTAACACTCTCCAGTTGATACAACTCTTTCATGTAGCATCACTTTAGCTGAGCCTCACAATAACCTATGGAAGTGGGTTTTCTTATAGTCACACTTTTTCTTTTGATGTATTATGTCATATTGAAGACACACAGAAAGGAAAGAAGAAGAATACAACTAAGATTTACATATCTACCTGTTTTTCCTAGGATGCCATCGAGGCTTAGAGAGATTAGGTCACACCACTAGTAAGTGACAGAGCCAAAACTGGAACTTAGGTCTGACTCCAAGCGCAGTGCCCTTTTCTCTGTATTATGTTGCATTGAGACTAGACGTCTGCATGTTACAATCCATTGAGATGCTGCTGGCAATTTTCATAGTTGGACTTAAATATAATTATAACACCTCAAAGTTGGAAGGGACCTTAGAAGTCATTAAATCCAACCTCCTTCTCTAAGATGGGCCCTAGACAGGGAAAAACTCACCCAAGTCATACACAGTCAGCCAAGCTGGGGAATAATGCTGATCTCCTGGAGGTTGGGCCTCCTTTAAATTAGGACAAGAGAGGAAAATAATGTCTGGATAGTTGCTTCATTTTTCTGATGACTTTTGCTACAAGGAAGTAACTTTTCTAACAAAAATATTCCCAACTAAAAAAATTAAGGAGAGGGAGTGGAATTAGCAACTAAAATGTGATTTCCCATTGGGTGGATGCCTTTCATCTCTCACAAATTATTTTACATCTAAAATATAGTGAGAGAGGAAAACTTTGACTGAGATAACTGGGGCCAGGAAGAGACATCATGAAAACTTTGAGATAACTGGGGCCAAGGTCTTCTCTCAGTAAAGAGGCTCTTCTACCTACATGCTGAGGGAGCAAAGTAATTGGTACCGGATGCCAGGCTCCTTTCTCATTATAGGGAGATGTAACAGTGCTCTGGAGCAAGAAGAAAGAGTCTGCCTCAGAAGCCAGGCTTCAAATCCCAGCCTTTAGCAGCTGTGTGACTTCGGGAAAGTCACTTAACCTTGTACATGAAATAAGAGACCACAATATTTAACATGGGGATCATTTTATATATTGTTTTATAGAAAATAGCATACTGGTATTCATGTCTAGCTACATTATAAAACGCCTACCCTGCCTCCTTCTGGGCCACCTCCCTTCTTTGTGCCATCTCCACAGCAGGCGGACACGTGTATGTTGTGTAAACTGCCAGGTATAGGGCCATACGTGCTTCAAGGGATAAAAACAAGGACAAAGAAAACTGGATTTTTTCATGTTGGTCAGCATGAAAACACAAGAGTGCACTTTGGTTTGGGTCTTGTGGGGCAGCCAATGGAACTTACAGCCACCCCTACCAAGTGAGTCTGCCAAGATGGGAATATTCATTTATTTGCCTGGATGTGATTCTGGGTCACTCTGAAAATGAGTTGCCTCCTGACAGGGCTTTTGTAAGACCTCCGTAGGATAAGGCGTGCAGGGTAATAACCATCCTGTCATTCATTCAGTGTGGCTATGTGCGGGAAACCGTCTGCTTCATCTGCATTATTCCCCTGAGTTGGTCTGCCCAGAAACCCTGAATTGTGTTGTTACTATCTTTATTTTATGAGGAAACCAGAGCTGAGAAGTCAAAGGACTTACTCAAGGGCACACAGTGAGTGACAGACTGGGATTTAAACCCTGGTGCTGTTTGATACCAAAGGCCATGAACCACCTCCAAGAGGGAGGGCACTTTGATTGTAAAGTGCCATTCCAACTAGCAGAACAGTACACAGGCCTCGATTAGGCATTCAGTTTCTTAAGATGTAACTGTCTCCTAAACTTGACCTTTCCTATGTCTCTGCAGAACGACATGGGTTAAAAGAACCAAAGAGAGTGGAGGAGCTATGCAACAAGATCACAAGCAGCTTAAAAGACCACCAGAGCAAGGGACAGGCTTTGGAGCCCACTGAGCCCAAGGTCCGGGGTGCCCTGGAAGAACTGCGGAAGATCTGCACCCTGGGCCTCCAGCGTATCTTCTACCTGAAGCTGGAGGACCTGGTGTCTCCCCCTTCCATCATCGACAAGCTCTTCCTGGACACCCTGCCTTTCTGAGTAGGGGCAGCCTGCGCAGGCAGCCGCCACGTCTGCTCGCACCTGCTTGCTAAGCAACAGATGGATGGGTCTGAACACCTACCATTCCTGTCCTTGCTTAAGAGAAAAAGCAGCTCCTGACAACAAGAAAGACTTTTTTTTTTTCTGGCACTTTTCTTTACAACTTAAAGCCAGAAAACTTGCAGAGTATTGTGTTGGGGTTGTGTTTTATATTTAGGCTTTGGGGTTGGGGTGGGAGGGGGTCATAGTTCATGGGGGTTTTCTAAGAAATTGCTAATAAAGCACTTTTGGACGATGCTATCCCAGCAGGGAAAAAAAGGATAATATAACTGTTTTAAAACTGTTTCTGGGGAATACAATTATAGTTGCTTTGTATTTAAAAACAAGAACAGCCAAGGGTTGTTTGCCAGCGTAGGACCTATCTTGAGAGGATCACTTTAGAATACACTTCCTGTGTCAAGGGTACATATGTGGTGCAAACAAGGCAGATTCCCTGTTCTTAATTTCTTTCTTTCTTTATTTTAACAAATGGTGAAAGATGGAGGATAACCTACAAATGAGACATGGCAAAGTGATTAACGGCTGTTCGCTTCCATATACAAGTGCAATTTTTAAAGTGCTGTCTTACTAAGTCTTGTTTATTAACTCTCCTTTATTTTATATGGAAGTCAAAAGGAGGCAGTCAAGTTAGCAGATGGCAAATGTTAATTTCCTAGCAGAGGCTTTGTCCACCTGCCCTGCAGAACCCTTCTGAGGTATGGTCCGTCCAAGATTTCAGGCCATTCTTAATGGATCCAGATCCCTGCCCTGACTGTCCAGCTGTCCTGAAGGGGGCGCAGTTTGTAAGACAGATCACACACAACTGTTTTGATTGTGTTCTATCAGCCCGTCCAGAGATTCCTCAGCTTCCTTCAATCATAGCAACTCGCTGACACGTTCACTCAGAAGCCCAGGAGCATTCAGTGAGTCTCAAGTGATTGATTCCTAGATAAAAACATGCAAATAAGTAGGAACTGGATCATACAGGGTAAACACCAGGGGTAATAAGGATTTTTAATATATATAATTTAATTTTTGTTATCGGTTAAAGAGACAATTTTGGAGAGCAAGCAAGTCTTATTTTTTAAAAAATAGTATGAATGTGAGTACTAGAAAGGATTAGTGGGCTGCGTTTCAACATTCCGTGTTCGTACTCCCTTTTGTATGTTTATACTGTTAATGCCATATTACTATGAGATAATTTGTTGCATAGTGTCCTTATTTGTATAAACATTTGTATGCACGTTATATTGTAATAGCTTTGCCTGTATTTATTGCAAGACCACCAGCTCCTGGAAGCTGAGTTACAGAGTACTTAAATTGGGTGTTCACAGTGACTTGGATACGCCAATTAGAAATTAAATAAGCAAATATATATAAATATAGCAGGTTACATATATATTTATAATGTGTCTTTTTATTAACCATTTGTACAATAAATGTTACTTCCCATGCAGTTATTTTATGGTTCATTTGCAGTGACTTTTAAGGCAGTACTGTTTAGCACTTTGATATTAAAATTTTGCTTATGTTTTGCTAAATTCGAATAATGTTTGAAGATTTGTAGGTCTGAAAGTCTTTATATTATATATTCTGTATCAAGTCAAAATATCTTTGGCCATTTTTGCTAAGACACAAACTTTGAATGTCAAACTGATGTCACAGTAGTTTTTGTTAGCTTTAAATCATTTTTGCTTTAGTCTTTTTAAAGGAAAAATAACAAAACTATGCTGTTTATATTGTCATTAAATTATACAATCAAACAAATGCCAAATGAATTGCCTAATTGCTGCAAAAAGTAACCCAGATAGCAAACCATGTGTTTTTTTCCAAGAGTCATTCTGATATTTGATCATATATTATGTTTATGTGAGCTTTTATGAAAGATTATTATTTTTATATCAAGATGATAGAATCTGGCATGTTAGTCTCTAGGAATGTTAGACTTGGAAGGGGCCTGGCTTGTCAGCTAGTCCACCCCAACCCCAAAATTCACAGAGGAGAAAACCCAGGGCCCATCACAGGATAAAGGGTTACCCAAGGTCAAACAGCTAGTACCGGAATCAAGACTAGGACCTAACTCTCCTTCCCATCATCTTTTTACTCAACTTACCGCATCTATAGGAAAACGGGCTTTTAAAAATAACCAGCAATGCTTACATTTTACCTGATGATAACCATGAGTAAAGTAGTACTTTTGCATTAATTTTTTCAGCTTATATGCAAACATTAATAAACATTTTTAAGTATCAGGAAAGCTAACATTTCATGTAAGGTATCAATAGCTTCAGACCAAATTCAAGTTGAATTTGAATAAATTAGAAGTGCTGTGCATACATAATCCTCTCATGCACCATTAGTATTGCAAAGTCAGTCCTTGTTTTTTTGTCATGTCTGAAAATAACAACAAAAAAAACAGAGCCCCAGAGAAATGCTGTTACTTTTTATTTTTACACCCATCAGATTTAAGGAAAAGACTTTTTAACCATGATATTGATTGGAAGAAATGAAGAAGGATTTTAGTTTTAGGTCCAGACATTCGTGCTGAAAATAAAGATGATAGCCAGCATTCTTCTGTCTTCCATAGTTATTATAACTATGAGGGCCTCCCAAGTCATCTACCAATTCAACTCTCTTTTTTTTTGTCTTAATATTGACACACAAGTTTATACAGTGGATGACCAAATGGACGCAGAAGAGGACAGCAAGAATTAAAGCAGGTGATTCTTCCCTTATGGGAGATCTCTCTCAGTGTGAACAAGCCTTCTGTGGGCAGAAATCAGGAATCCACCAGCTGTTAATGGAGAGTGCCTTGCTTTTATTTCAGACAGCAGAGTTTTCCAGAGTTTCTCTGCTCCTCAAACAGCATTGCTCTTTAGTATGTGTTAACCTGTGATTTGAAAGAAATGCTCTTGTATATTAACAATGTAAATTTAAATGATTAAATTAAATTACATTTTATCAATGGCTACTGGTGTGTTGAATAAGCATGCTTCATTTAACAGTGTTTTCTTAATCATTCATTTAATAGTATTGGCTGTGAACTCTTAAACACATCCCCAAATGGATTTTTTAAAAAGCTTACTAATGTTGAAAAATTAATAGGCATTCCAATTGGAAATATATTAAACCTCACTGATTGGGAAGAAGGACATTCTAAATTCAATAACCATTTATTGACTACTTCCTGCTTGCAAAGTACTGCTGGGTGCTTTTAGGAGATACAAATGCACAGTGTATGAAACTGCTTTTCTTTCAACTGTATATAACTTAATGGAGCTAACAATTTGTTGTCTAAGTATATTCTTTAAGGGTTATGAAGGATTGAGTTTTATATCAAGATGATGGGATATCAATTGTTTGTGAACCAGAATTTGTAAGAATCAAGGTTAGAGTTCTCAGAGATGGATCAGTACTCTGCTTTTTTGTGGAAGCCATTACTGCTACACTGCCAGACACCCCTCTCTGTAAGCAATGTCAGTGCAACTATCATTCAACTCTATCCTAAACATCATATATTGAGTTAGTGCAAACACATTTTTTGCATGTGCTGATAGTTCAGAAAAAGAAATGTGGAGCTCTCATGATTTACTTCATCAGCTTATGCATAAAGTAGTTTCTGTGACATCTAAGAGCCATGTGTGGTCTAAAAGCCAAACCCTTCTTCCTGCTTCTCAGCAGCACTTTCATTTCCTCAGCAATAAGATATGATTAGCAAGAAAAAAATGAGAGATCATCTTGCATATGAATTTAAACATAGGGGCTTGGCTAGAAAAAAAAGGATTAAGTTCCTTCTTTGGGGACGCTAGGAGCAAAAGTCTGGTTTGAATGGGTAGGGAGGCGGGGAGCTCACTAAATAAGGGGTACTTGCCTGCAGTTGAATCATACATTAAACATGCAAAGATCATACTTTAATACAAGAAGCTAAATGTTGACTTTTTAAAAATCTGTGGTAAAATGCATAAACACTTACCATCTTAACAATTTTTACGTGTACGATTCAGTGATGTCAAACACATTCATATTGTTTAACCAATCTTCAGAACTCTTCATCCTGCAAAACTGAGACACCTATAGGTCTTTGAGCGAACGCATTTCCTTTCTCTAGAGTAAATACATAGGTGTGGAATCACTGGGTAGGTTTAACTTATGAGAAGCTGCCAAGCCTTTTATATAGAAATAGGATGTTTAGCCAGGCACATGGCCACTTAGGATAAACATGTTTCTCAGACTTCTGTGCAGCTAGGGGTAGCCTTGGCAGTCTGTTTTGGTCAATGGGATACAAGCGAAAGTGTCATCTGGGCACTATGTCCTATATGCTACTCTCTCCTTCCAGGTGGCATGTGACAGCAGCCTTCTAGAGACAACATTATTATTGTCTGGCCCCATAAAGTGTCTCTATGGGTGGAAATTTCAACTTGGCAAAGAATCAGGAGCAGTATCCTGATAGGTGATATTCTAGGATGGCTTGTATATAGGGCTGGTCTTGGAATATGTCTGATTTGTATTGTAACTCACGTTAGCTGGGGCCTCTGCTCTTTAGGATCTAGAAGGCATTGTTTTGAACTTCCTATTCCACAAACAAGGAGGTCCAAAGACCTCCTCAAGACATTTTCAAATTGTACCATTTTTTTACATTAGCCCTGGCTTTAACGTGCCACTTCTGTTTGCTTAGCTCTGTTAATGACCTGCCTTGCCGTACTTCTTTCGGGTGTCATCCCTATTTCTGCAAGTACAACTTGGATCTTTTCCTTAATTTCCACACCAAAATCACGTATAAGGCTTGCCCAGATTCTAGAAGCCTATCTTAAGCAACAGCTGGTGTCATTCACCTCTTTTTGTTCATCCCTCTCTCCACCTTCTACCTGGAACATGAACGCTGTCTTGGGCTATGGAGGTAGCGGCTCTTCTTCAGGACTGTAAAAAAATAAGTTGGAAGGAATCCAGGTCTCTGAGAGTTTTGTGGAGAAGAGTTACCCTGTCAGTCCTGTGTTGCTTATATTAAATGATTCATGAGAAAGAAAGAAACTCCTTGTTCAAACCGTTATTTTGAGTTTTTCCATTACTCAAAGCTGAACTGCATCCCAACTAAGACACACAAGATGTAAAAAAAAAAAAAAAAAAAAAAAAAAAGAGGCCCATCTGCAGCATAGGTTTAAAAAAAGGTGTCAGGAGTATTAAGGATAGTGACTCAGTACGAATCAGTCATGTTTTGAGGCTACCAAAAACCCAAAGACATCTTAAGTCACAATTATTTATTCATTTATTAATTCCTCGATTCATTCAACTTTGCACTAGGTCCTGTGTTTCTGCTTCTTCATAACCTCCTAGACCGGATGCAGGCTGCCCCCACATGGTCATAATTCTTTCTATCTTGTGGTTTCTCTTACCACCTTCTAATTTCACTTTCACCACTAACCGCCTTATTCAATATTTTCCAATTCCTATTCCTGAGAGAGAAAATGTAATAGGTCTAGCTCAACTTTTCATGCCAGGCCAAAGGAGGTGCCTGAACAATCTGCAGAATAGGTGCCCCTGGGTCATCTCTTGTCCAATCAGCTGTGGTTGAAGAAGAACATGCATTGACCCTTCGGAAAATATGGTAACGTGAATGGTTTCAATCTGAAAGAGCTGTGATTATAGTGGCACTGTGACTATCCTGTCCAATATAGCAGGAAGCTTGATTTGGTTTAAGGGAGCGATTGTAGAGGACAGTTTGGGTAGAATCTTTTTGATCTCTTTAGTGCCTAGCACAATGCCTGGTTCCCTGAAACTCTTAGAAAATGCCTGTTGAATGAATTCAAGTTAGATCTTCAGTGATGGAAGTGGGAGATAGAAAACATATCAAATTCCCAAGAGATAGACTATGTCATGGCTTCCAAAGTTGGTATCTATCTAGTTTCATATTTTTCTGAACTTCAATGCAAAAAGAAAAAGGAAAAGACAGAGAAAAACCGTGAAAATCATCACAACCCCAAGGAAGGTTTGTTTTTTTCCTTTCCTTTAGAAAGCAGCTGTCAGTTTAACTTATCTGAAAATACTGTCAGTGATGAGCATGACTGAAAATGCATTTTATCTGTAATTAGAGAGATTACATTAAACACTATTATTTGCAGGCACACATTGAATTAACCCTAATCGAGGCTAGCAAATAGTAGAGTCTGCCTATTTTTTGCCTCAAAAGTTTTAGAAAATTGTGACAGTTGACACACAAGGGACAATGCTGACGAGATTTCTTTCTGTCAAATGCCAGACAGTAATTGTAATTGCGTTTAAAAATGTTTTAAGCAGTTTCTTTAGTAAATCAGAAGTTGCCACAAATCGTGCTGATAGTATCTAAACATGGGGGTTGTTGACTGTGCATTCCAATATGAGTTTAATGAATTGATTTTTTAAGGAATTTAACTTTGCATCTGTTTTCAGGTATAATTAATTCACTCTGTTTAATGTGATTAGCATGGATATCTGTGGATTACACATGATCCCCTTTATTTATTCACTTATTTTTAATCTGCCACACTGTCCATTGGGAAATTATATAAGAGTTTTTGGGAAAACATCTTGCTGGTTGCTTTGATCACATTGGATTTCTGCAAAGCAGAACCCTGGCAGGAATTCACTGATTATTCAGAGTGTAAAGCAATGTGCTCCTGTTTGAGGGACCTGTTAAAGTTTACACAGTCTCCATCTTTAAAGAGTTTATAATCCAGAGGGGAAGATGAGACAAACATTCCAATGAAAGCCACTTGTAGGAAAACATGGCTGTCCTCGGATTCTTCTTTCTCTGAGCACCCCTCCCCAGCTCTCCTTAAATAGTGCTATAACCTAGGAATATCAATGGCCTGCCTCGTTCATGCTTCCCACTGTTCTGGGCAGCCTTATGCCTGGCTTCAACTACCACTCCTGAATCTATCCCTCTAACTCTCACAGCCCTTCCCCCTGAACTTTCAACCTGGAGCTCCAGGTACCTCCAGATATCTTCATCTGCACATCCCACAGGTACTTCAAATTTAACATACCAAACCCAAATCTGTGCTCTCCACCCAAATTTGTCCCTACTGTCTTCCCAATCTCTGCAAATGGCTCCTCCATTCACCCAGGCATCCAAGCCAGCCATTTTCAACAAGTGTGCCACGTCAGGCACACTGGTGCGCCGCAAGAATTTTTAAAACATGCAATACTTAACTATTTAGTCAGGAGCACTGACTTCTTTTCCCTTAGACTGTCAAATAAAAAAATGACAACAGCCAACATAGCATTCCAGTACAAATGAATCCAAATTATACCTATAGTTTGTCAGACAGGCAAAAAATACATTTTAGTGTGCCGCAGAATTTAATAATTAGTTTACATGTGCCACAGGATGAAAAAGGCTGAAAATCACTGGTCCATGCTAAACTATTGTTGTGAGTCTCAGAACAAGAAGGTACTCATTTATTCCCCTTGGTTCTCAAAATTTAATGTTCACCTTTAACGTTTATTGGAATCATCTGGAAAGCCATTAAAAACAGTTTTCTGGCCCTGGCCAGTGTGGCTCAGTTGGTTGGGGCATCGTCCCATAACCGAAGGGTTGTGGATTCAATTTTCTGGTCAGGGCACATACCTAGGTTGCAGGTTCAATCCCCTGTCCAGGTGCATACAATCCCTGGTCAGGGCACATCCAGGAGGCAACCAACCAGTGTTTCTCTCTTGCTCTGAAGTTTCTCTCTCTCCCTTCCACTCTCTCTAAAAGCAATGAAAAAGCAAAAGCAAAAACATTTTCTGAGACTCATGTCCAGAAATTCTGTTTTAGCAGTCTGGAGTGGGGTCCTTGAATTTACACTTCTAACAAGTTTATGAGTGACACCAATGCTGTTGGGCCAGGGACCACATTTGGAGGACAATCACCCTAGAGAATGAAAAAAAAAAACTCAGGCACATTTCTATGACCCACCAAATCATTAGTGTTTGAGTGATCACTGGCAAAGAATGAAAGCCCAGGAAGCTAATCTCCTCTGAGGAGAGCATTTCTGCATCAGCCAGAGGAAGCATGAATTAATGAAACAGCATGTGATTTAAATATTTCTTGATCCATCAACGATGCATGGAGTGCCTACCTTCTGCTAGGCACAGTGCAAGGCACTGAGCTGGGCTCTGAGATACAACGCTGAGTAAAACCATGACACAATCCATGTTTTAACAGGTGAATGTGAGCAATTCATTGCAACTTTGATGTCTCATCTGTAAAATAGAGTAATAATGTCACTTGTGTTGACTTAAGATATCAAATGGAGGACTATATGAAGTGCCTAGTTCAGCACCTTGTATATCGATACTCAATAAAGGTACTTAATAAATAATAATTAGTTCTTTTTTATGTTAGAATTAGCCACTTTAAAGTGCTACCCAATATTAGTTGCCATTATTTTTAGCATTATTTCACAGATTCCCTCAATAAGCCCACCCAGGTAGTTGGCTAGGCTTTAACAATACGAGAAAAGACCTCAAACAACTGAAGACATCGTGAAACTTTCCTGGTTGCAGAGCCCAGAGTTTCTTTAAGATTATGGGGGCTTAAGTGTTAATAATAGGTTCCAAATTCTCCCCCCCAAAAGACTCTTCCACACTTGTTTACTGTTTGACTAATTCTAATTCTCTCAGGTAAATTGGAGTTGACTCAGAAGCCAAGAGAAACAAAAGAAACCTGGTCATTTTTACTAGATTCTAGGATTTCAAGTGTCACTTTGCCTGCATGGAAGTGGATATGAAGATAAAAAAGAAAACTCCTGTTTGCTATTAAAGACGAAATGAGGTACAGCCAAACAATGCTAGAAAGCCTTAGAAACGATAGTGATTTGAATTTACTGATATAGAAGAAAATGGCAAAGAGAGCGGAATGTGCCATTTTGATTTTTAAAAAGATTACAGGCTTATTTATGTGTCTCTACATGGGAAAAAAAGTCTAGAAAGCTACACCCTATTTCTCTGTGAAATAATTGCAATTAACTTCCAAAGAGTAATCTATATTTTCTAGATTTTACACAATGACTATATGTGGTGCAGTAAGCATTTAGAAAAAAGAGACAGTGACAGAAAGAGTCCACACGTCCTACAAGGAACAAATAAACCTGTGGAAGGCCTCAGGCAACATTTCTTGATCTGGATGTATATTAGTATCACCTGGGGAGTTTTAACACCATCTCAATAGCCAGGGGGCACCCAAGAGCAATTAAATAAAAATCTCTGGGGCTAGAAGCCAGGTTTCAATAGTGTGTGAATCTCCCCAGGTGTTTTCAATGTGTAGCCAAGGTTGAGAACCCCTGTCTCGGGAGATCTATCACTCCTTGTGCATATTTGGTATTTGCCATGGGTCCCTACAACCAAGCTAGGCGCCCCCCCACCACACACCAAGAGAAACATCAGTGCTCGCTGGATTCTAATATCAGCATTTTTATTCATATTTCAGAATAACTTAGAAATAGATCAGGGCTATAAAGTATGTTGGCCACTGGACAGATTTAAGGAGAAATGGTGGACATAGGATATGAGTTAGAATATCTGGGTTCTTTGTGTCATCTGCCACCTGATACTGTGTGACCTTGGACAAGTCACTCTTCTCTGAGCCTCAGGTTCCTCATAACTCTTGCCTCTCTGGGTTGCTGTTATGATTGAATTAATTAAAATCCACGAAAAGAGTTTTGTAAAATGTACAGTACTAAATAAGTATTATTAGTTTTAGTATTTTATAACCAATATTATGAAGAATGTGCTCAGGGAAAGATGATATCTGAGGAAGACACAAGAAAGGTTGACTTACTCCCGAAGAGGAGATCGAACCTCAGGATGAACAGGGAGACTGAAGGTCAAAAACAATTAAATAAGGGGCAAATCCATGGGTTGGTATTAAAAGCAACCTGACAGGCCAAACATGAAACACTTCTTTCTCAGAAATCCAGAGAAGAGACTCTGAGAAAGGCCTTCCTTTTGCTTTTCTGATGGCTTCCAGGAATTTATACCAAAGTGGTGATGTCCCAGAATAAATAAGTTTTCTTCTCATAATTAAGCCAGAGGTTCTGGGAATGGGCTGAACACAAGGCTGAATTCATTACTGAGATTGCCTGCAATTTAATTCAGGTCCCAAAGAAGTGGTCCCTATGTGTCATTGAAAAAGAATTTTTGCATCTAGACAACAGCCTACATATGTCTCTAGATTGACTTTTCCTTTTCCTCTGCACTTAATTTATTCTCTGAAAATCATGGGCCTGGAAAGAATTTTAATGCAACACTGTCTGTGGGAGGAGCTCAGCAGCAGATGGGGCCGTCTGCGATATCATCCCACATGGGTAGTGACTGCAGAAAGTTGACAGCGTTAAGATCAGGGACCATGACTTTTCATCTTCGTACACCCTACATGTTGCATAATGTTGGACCCAAAAAAGTACACAGTGAATCAATGCCTTAGAAGCGCTTCCTGCAGGCACAGCTCTTAGCTCATGGTAGGAAATTAGTAACTATTTGTGGAATAAATAGCATCGTAACCAGGTCTAACGCTCTGAAAACATCTACTGTTGGACAAGCGTGTTTCCCATTTGTTCACTTTAGCCCATTATGGGCTGCAACGTCTCAAATAAAATGGATTTATTGTCCCATATTCTCAGGGTTAATATGGGTCTGCACTGAAGATAAACCGTAGCATTTTTATGGTGCATTCCAGTTGTTTTATTTAATTGAATCTTTACAACTTCAGGAAGCATGACTGTTGCAGTAATCCAGGCAAGAGATAAAGGAATCTTAAACAATGACAGTGGAACTGGGAGGGAGAACAGTGGGACACTTTCAGACCAGGCTTTTGGTTTGGATACCTAAGTAGGTGATGATGCTATTCACTGAGATATGCAGGAGGTATAGTTTGAGGGAAAATATGATGAGATTAGTTATGGGCATGCTGCGTTGTAGGTGCCTGTCTATCATCTAGGTGGCAGTGTTGAGTAGAACATGGGATGCACAGGTATGAAACTCAGAGAAGACATCTGGCAAGATAATCTTGAACACCATCAGCATGTAACAGTAACAGAAATGCAGAAAGAATGAGTATCAGGAAGAGAACAGTGAGAACAGTTTCAGGGAGAAGGATGTGACAGAAAGCAGTAGTAGAGGGTAGAGGAGAAGGTGAAGACGGACATCGCATGAAAGAAGAGAGAGTAGTACGGAAGGGGACATGAGGTCCAGTGAGAGATGTGAAGATGGGAAAGATACGTTTAAATGCAAATGGGAAAGGATGAGATGAATATGCCAGGCTGCTCTGTATCTGCCCATGATCATATCTGGTCATTACTTTTGCTTCTGTCTGTCAAATCTAGAACAAGTTTCTCTCTTGGCCAACTCTAATTCAGAATCATACAAAAATGAAATTGTAGGAAATATAGTTATCAGTTTATCCAAGTTGACATACCACAATCCAGCACAGTCCACCCCTTGTCAACTGGTATCTACAAACCCTTCCTTAGACATCCTTAACTTCACCAATAATAAAAACACCAACAATACCATGATTTTTGTATAACATAATGCAACTAGCCATACAACTGAACACACGCAAACTTCTCCCAATAAAAGAATACACAAAGTTCACTTCGTCCATTCTGAAGAGCAAAATTTCACCATATATCTGGCACTAAACTGAGTCTTCAAAATGCTATTACATGGGTGGACCTGGAGAACATTATGCTATGTGAAATAAGTCAGTCAGAGGAAGACAAACAGCATATGATCTCACTCATGTGGAGTCTAATGAACAAACTGAACTAACAAGCAAAGTAGAGGCAGACTCATAGATAGAGAGCAGGCTGACAGCTAAGGGGGGGAGGGTAGGGGGCAGAGAGATTGAGCAAAAAGGACTCATGGACATGGACAACAGTGTGGTGACTGTGGGAGTGGAGAGTGTATAAGGAGACTAAATGATAATGGAAAAAATACTATACACATACACACACACACACACAAACACACACACAATTCAATCAGGTCAGCTACTGCCAGGTGATGGAAAGACTAGTACTCAGCACTCGTTCTCTGTAAAATGAGTTCTCTGGTAGGGGAAAGAAAAAAGCTGTGTGGGATACCATGACCATGAATAAATTATCCTGTGAGTCTATAGATGGTGGAGGGTGGTTGAAAATAACACCATGGGAAGAAAAGGCAAATCTGTATCCAAAATAAATATCTGTTCTAGTAAGAACAATGCACTTCCACTTCCATGGTGGAAATGGCCCAAGGTAATCAGCCTAATGTCAGGTGGCCTGAGTAATGCCCTATCTCCAGCTGGTGTTGGTCTTTCCTGTTGGCAGCTGGGGACTCAGCAGTTGAGGTAAACAGACTGGCTTTAATTAGAGGAAGTCCATGTTGAAAAGATGACCTGTTTTGTGGTTATGAGTCAGCCTCTTTCCTCAGTCACTCTCGTCCTTGCCCAATCCACTTGTATATAAAGTGGCCATGGTCATCTTGTCTACCTGATTATTAAGATCCTCCTCTGGTAAAATTGCTCTATGATGAACATTCACCTGGGACACAAAAATTATCATATTCTGTGCCTATTCAGGGAAGTCCATCCTCATGTATTTTCTTCATAATTCATTATCTCCAATTCTTCAATCATCTACCTTCTAAGTCCATAACCAATCAACCAAATCATTCATCATTGCTCATAAATTAATGTAGATCCATACCTTTGGTCATCTCTCCTTCCAGGCAAATTAACTAGCCAGGTGCACTGGTTGGAGTTTTGTCCACTGTGAAGATTTCTCTTTCACATTGTCATTCATGGCTGCCCTTATGTGGGGGTGTATTGCTGTAGGTATCCAATTTCAGCTTCGGCCAACATTTTGATAAAAATACCTGTAAATCTGATCCACTTTTTTCTTCCTTAGTCAAATGATCATAAGGATTTTCCCATGAGGTCTTAGGTGCAGACTGAGAGAGGGGGAGCAATGTAGCAGAAAGGGCATTTATGGCAATCTGAGACACTTACTAATGAAATTTACTTGTGTCTTGAGGACGTGCCTGAGTTTGATCTCTTACACATCACTCCCACTTGATGATGAAGTGCTGCTGTGCACACACCCAAGTCCATCGGGTCAGGTATCACCCACTTTGTGATGGGCATCTCAGGCTGCATGGTAACTTGGGCTGCAGTCAAGTGGTTAGTCTCTTCTAGGACCCAGAAACAAGCCAGAAGCTGT